ATGCTGATTATGATGATTATGATTGGTAGTTATAAGACGCTAAAGGTACAGTTAGACTATTTAGCCGCAACAGTTGGGCGGCTTGACATGTGGTTTAAACAAATGTAATATACATTATATTCTATAACTGGTAAAAATTTGAACAGTTGATCATTTACCCCAAGTCAAAGCTGCCAGCCGCAGGAGCTCTGAGGGAGAGGTCCCGGGTTGTACCACATACTCAGAGCTGTACGGGTCCGTCTGGGTTTCACTTTCCCTGTAGTCGGTCTGGACCCCCACAGTGAAATGGGTGGGCTGTTTCTCAGCATTCTTTCCACCAGAGGATGCAAACTGTTCTCTGATGAGACATAACAGAGGATGTACCCTCAACCAACAAAAAAGCAATACTGAAATGTCTGGAAAATAAAGACGTGTAAACTGGCCAACATACTTCGGCAATGCAAAAATAACATCCGGGGGAACCTGCTGTGCGAAGGGAATCAGAGGGCTAGAGGAAACAGAATGGAACACCACGTCAGAGTCAATATTGCATGTCAATATTTGATGCGGAAACTGTGGCTACATGACAGTTATCTTTAGTAAACTTTTGATATGATTCTATTGCACCCTATTCACAGTTTCGGAGTGTATGCTGGTTAATCAAACCGTTTAAAGTATTTCCAGCTATCAGCTCCGGTCACACGGCACTCCGCAGTGGGAATAATCCTGTCAAGAAGATAATGCCAAAGGACACAGTTTTTATTTGTTACAAGTGACAGAAATTAACCTTAAATACAATTTAGTATCTGCTGCTGCTCATTAAAATGGTGTCTGTTGGTGGTACCCAGCCAGCTGCTGCAGAGCCCCTTTACGCTGATCAGTGTGGCCCCTCCAGCGGCGATCAATATAGGTCGGTACCGGGTCTGTAGGGTCCAGGTGAACAGTGAACCGTGGGTGGTGGGAAAGGTTACTGAACATGGACTCATACTCAGGCACTAATCTCTAATGGAGACAGAGAGAAATGCTGTCAATGAGTCAATTTCACATTCATTAGGTTTTTTTCTTCATTTGTGTCATCAGAAACAAGTAAAAAAGAATACTGGTGATGAGTTATGGTTTAGAAAGAGTTAAACACAAAGTGGGTCAATCATTCATTTTTTCTGAGTTAACGTCAGTGTTTATAGTGTGAGATAAAAAAATATTAATTAATTAATTTAAAACTACAATATAACACACTTATAACTATAGTCTTATCTAATTTTTTTCAGCCCAAAAAAATGGTCAACACACTAATCTGGAAATCAAATCCTGGGTAAAGTTTCTAGATGGGCTTTGTTTACAACCTAAGATAGCACATTTTACATCAAACGTGTGTCTGAAACGGTTCCTTCTTTTGATTAATATGCAACACAAAACTATCACTGTTGGAAGAAGGACTCAGATCCTCTGTAAAAGTACAAATATTGTGGTCTTAAAATACTCCACTACAAGTAAAAGTTGTGATTTCTAAATTCTACTTAAATAAAAGTACCAAAGTATTAGCATCAAATGTACTTAAAGTACAACAACTACTCATTCTGCACAATGACCCATTCCAGTATAACATAGTACAGAAGTATTATCAGCTTAATATAAAGCAAGTACAAAAAAGTATAATAGATATTTTTACAGTATTATATTATTATGGTTATTGTATTATCCTGTTTTTTATACATGTAAGAGCATTTAATTTAAATTAATAACATTAATTAATTACATTTATTGTAGTTTCTCTGTGTTGACCAAATTTAGATACATTAAATACTGTGCAGATTAGTTCTACTGCATTATACCATATCAGCATATCATGTGTTTAGTAGAAAGTAAAATATTGGCTTTCAAAATGTATTGGAGTAGAAGTATAAAGTAGCAGAAAATGGAAATACTCAAGAATGTCAGAAAAGTACTTAAGTACAATACTTGAGTAAATGTACTTAGTTACTTTCCACCACTGAAATCTAACCACACAAAACACAATATGATGATAACAGTTTAACCCAATATACGTGTGCAGGAATGACTGACTGTCTCAGAACTTGTACTAATTATGACAAATAGTCAGTTAGCGTTATTTGATGACATTTCTTATATTGATTGTTGGCAACACAAACAATGCATGACAAATGAATCGACTTAACTTACGACTCGATCTTTAGACGCATATGCCTTCAGCTTAGACCTGGCATGGTCTACCTCCGATGACACTGTGTAAACTGGATCTGTTGAGTAAACGTTAGTTAATTCCAAGCGAATGAGCTAATGCTAACCTACTTAGCACGTTTACAAATGCGTTTAGCTCAGGTCAGCTGGCGTCCACTTTAGTTTACTTACCATACAAGTGGTCATACTCCCGCTGCCGCCTAGCAACTTTATTAGCGTCATTTGTCTTCGTAATTGTGCGAGTGACAGATACGCTCATTTTCTTATTTAAACAAAATAAACGTGTTTTGAGGTTGAGTTTCCCCCAGAAAGCGACATCAAAGAACTCTGCGTATTGTCGCCATGGAGACCGTAAACATAGCTTTTGAAAGTGGGAGGGGCCGAGGGGGGATGTCATGTTTTGTTTAACGTCGTGGTCCAGTCATGGCATTGGCCATAGACTGGTGTTTTGGCAGGTGTTTATATGTTGTAATTTGAACGTGAAATGTGCAAGTCTATATTATGTACCAAACACGATTTTCACGGATCTCTACAGTAACAACCCAACCGAAACGGCAAGCATAAGCTTAATCTGTCTACCTTCCTGATACATATTATATTTCCAACTGCAACGGCGACTGAGGTTAATGGGTAGGCTAATATAGTTTTAACATTTCCCGTACCAACCATGTACCAAACAGGCGAAATACAAAAACATGATTTATCAGCAAGGAGATTCGTAGCTTACTAATGACTACAGCATTAACACAGCACACCGTTGTACAATGTACGTTGTTGTGTTTGAATCATAAGGAAATAAACCCTTTCAAATGAGAATTACAGAGTGAAAAATGTACTTCCTGAAACAGTGGTTCTCCCCATGGATGGTTCCAACCGGTACCACCCCTTCGACCATGTTCCACTCCCTTTGCCACTTAACTATTTATTTTAAATTAAGATGGGTCTACAAATTAAACGTATTATTATATTTATTAAAGTGGAACTCTAACCCTTGTGCAATAAATATAAAATGTTATTTCTTTCATTATATATTTCTACAGCCTATAGCCGAGAGTCACAACATTTTATTAGCTAGTGCCTCAAAAATAGTTTGTGTTTTTGCAGTTAGAATGTTGTATAGAATAAAGTGTTACTTTGTTTTTATGAGAGCAAACAATACTTTTATTGAAGTTTGTCTAATAATCAGGGGTTTAACATTTCAAACATTAATTAAAGTCCCTTCTTACTATTTAGATATGATTAATTTCCAGAATACATTTGCTTTGTTCCACTTTATACATCTCAAGTTTTTTCTTGACCCTTCACATCATTTTAGGTTTCCAAAGAGGTTGATTTTGACATCAACAGGAAGTGTGTGTTATCAGAGAGAAGCAGTCCACACAAAAAAAACACACACACACACACGCACACGCACTCGCACACACACACACACACACACACACACACACACACACACACACACACACACACACACACACACACACACACACACACACACACACACACACACACATATATATTTTAGGAATAATGCTGACCAAAGCAACATTACATTAGCCAGTGAGGAAGTTTTGCAATTCTCTGGAAAATGCCAGTTTATGTTTGCCAGCTCACAATCAGCTGAACTTCTGTTATTTGTGTTGAATAAACAGGGTCTAATAATAGATTGTTAAAAGAAGAACTGCCTTGTGCCTGTATAAAACATATTACTGAAAAGTTTACCTACTCACATAAGTGTTATTTTTATTTTTTTACATCAGAGAGTTTAGCCATAAAATGTAAAGTACCTTTCTATTTGTGTAAAATGTGTATCTCTATTGAATGTTAGTTTTATGTAGCAATCATGGGCAGAGTCATAGTGCACTCAAGAGAAGGAAAAACATGTTTTTATGTCCTATCTGATCTGTATATGAAGCAGCTAATATCAGGATGTTTCATTGTGTGATAAACCTATTAACCACAAACTCTGCATAGAGGCTTGCAGATCATAACTACACGCACACAATCCACCACATTGTTATGTTGTCAGTTAATCTCTGATCTGCATACTGGAGATGGCTTGTAGCCACAGGCGTTTGGCGCTCGAAAAACAGCACATGTAAGAAACTCGCATAACCGTTATAGAGCAAGATGTTCTTACACCAGCATAAGACCTTAACAAATAACACTTACTCAGCATGGAATATTTATTCTCCCATAATCATTTCAGTGACCAGTTTGTCATCTAAATTATGCAGTCTAACCTGGCATTGCCTCCTATTATGCCTCATGAAAGTTATAATGTTTGTGTTTGTGATTTAATTAAACTTCACATTGAGTCGTTGCCCATTGTGTTGTGTGTCAATGAGATGTAAGTCTTAGTCAACACCATTATAACAATATAAAATAGACTAAAAGTTATAAACACCCACAGTACAATGCAACTCAACAGCGCCCCAAACTACAGCCCCCAAAATGTTAATAAAGTCAACATCTCTTGCTTAGTTTCATTTCAACATTCAAGAAAGTCTGCTGTATTGCAGGGCTGGCTGGTGTATAGCATTTTATAATTTGTTCTTACCCCAGTTAGCAAGGCAAAGAGTAAGGCAGTCAAAGTCAAGAAACATTTAATGCAAATACAAATTGTGGCTGTGTCTAAAGTATCTGCTTTACAATGTTGTCTAGCTTGGAGCGTACACACATTCTGCTTTTACAACGTGATCTTGCGAGAAGCAAGAAAGGAAACTGGTGTCTTGTCATACGTCATCCTGTGTGGGAGAATAAGACAGATGTTTTTGTGGAAAGCGCTTTGGAGAGAGGGGAAGAGAAAGAAGAGGAGGGAGGGATCTTTTAGTCACATGTCCTCTATAGTTCTTTTTATGTAGGGTGTCAAGGATGTTCGGTTAGTCTGGATAGGGTGACGAACTGGCTTAACTCAAACCCAGAGCTTACCGGGCATACATAGTGAGATGGAAGGTTTAACAAACAGTATAATAGCCCAGACAAAACGACACAACAGCGTGTTGTTACTGTAGACAGAGTTCAGGACTGAGGATTTAAAGACTTGATGTGTTTCTAACTTGTGTCAGAGGCACTGTGGTTGCCAGAAGAAACTGAAGACAACTGGAGATGGAGGACATTAAGTGGATTTATGCCATGCTTGTCTTCTTGCTGTCTGAAGCACAGAGCATCAAATCAGGTTTGAACATTAACACGTTTTACTGGCATTCTTTTTCAGCATTTCAAATGTTTAAGTGCTATACAGCTTTATAAAGACATTGTTTTTTTTAAAAGGTGCTAAGGAGTTGTCCTTATAGATGCTAAGCAGCAAGGTATATTGTGCTTCTAACTAACAATTCCTCTTTGTATCTTTTCTACTGTACAATTGTGCCATTTGGGGAACTTCAATGGAAATGTGTTGTGCCGTTAACACGCAATGTAACTCAAATAACATCCAGCCTTAATAATATAGTTATTTACTGTAGAAATCTGTGACATGTTGGTAACATTTAGGTAAATGTTACTCATGCGGTTTGCCCCTCTGAGATTTCTGTTATACCTGTATATCTGTGGTTTGACTCACAGAGTAGTCAGTGGAAATGCTTGGAGGTGGGGTATTGCAGATTGTGTTAAGGGTGCCCCATATACTCTAAATGAACAATCAACATGCTGCCTCTTTCGTCTTCAGTGGAAATCATGATTTTATAACAGGGTAACACTATGATTTTTCCTATGTGTTGTGTCTTGAAGGTGGAGGTGACGCTTCTGTTTGACATCTGTGGTTTTAACATCCTACCTCGTGCATGGGGTTTGGTTACATCTGTCAGATGTAAACAACTTTTAGAACCCCAAAACACTCCAAAGTAAAAGTCAGTCAATGATTGATTGAGTTTATTTGAAATAGCTAGTTCCAATAATGCTAATATTTACTGTTTATAATTTATTTAACCAGGTCAAAATCTAATTCAGTTTCAAAACCTTTGCTAAGCGGGAAGCTTGAACATTGTCACATCAGAAAACCACAAACAATTCAAAAGACAAATACAATGGTCAAACACTACAAATGAAAGAGCACACTATCCAGGTGATGTGTAATATAAAAACACATAATGAATAGAACAGGCATAATTTAAAGCGCTTTTGATCAGAGATAAAGAGCAATTACATAGACCAAGAGTGACATTTTGTCCTTCCTTACAAATGGACATAAAGTCCCCCATTGTAATCAGTTCTGACAATTTTTGGCTGTTGTGTACGTTTGACCAGTAAGAAAGGGGAAGCTTACTTAAAAATAATTTTGCATCAGTGGAATATTTTGGGAGCGCAGTCTGGATTGAGTTTGAACACAAAGAACAGTGGAATACAGAATTTCCACAGCCAGTAAAAAAACATAAAGCACAATGTAATACAGCATCCAAATGATTTAGGCAATGGTCACGCATACCAGGTCACTGTAATCCATTCAAGATAAAACATTTTAAACATAAATGTTTTCTTACTTGGGAGAAAGAGTATTTTTCTATATAAGTATATACAAATGCTTCTTAATTCAAGTTTTAGCTCGGAAACAAGGTTTTCAATCTGTGATTTCAAAATCATTCATTTTAATTCCTTCAGCTTTCAAGATCATTAAGATTAGGTGTACAATGTAATTCCTCTGCAGTGAGGCTATGCAAATGGGGGATTATGAAGATAAAATGTTCCTCTTTTTTACGTTTGGATTTCTTTATTTGATTAAATTGTTGGTTTTGCAATTGCTAAAGACTGTGAATGTTGGAGTTTCTGTCACAACAGTCTGACATTTGTCCCTGCTGCAGTTTGTCATGCCGGACCAGTTATAACTGTATCGCTTCACTGCTGATCTCACAATCAAAAATAATAACAATTAACAAATAAATCACCTTGATTGTCACTCTGCTGATTAAAGACTTAAAATTCATAACTAACTGCTGTTTTCTGACTAAATAATATTGTTTGTACTAACTCTTTCCTCACATCCACCTCCATCGCAGAAACTAACCAAAGCACCGTGAACTCCAACTCTTCTTCTCCTGCGCATTTTGGTAAACCTATTCTCCAACTATTCCCTCCAGCTATTTTGCAGTATGAATTGATTATAAAATAGGAGTATAACAATTAAGTTAGTTAACATTAATTGATAGAATAAAACAGACATTTGAAAGAGCTTTTTTTTTAATAAGAAAGATTCAGTCTTTTTTTTTTTTTTAATGTAATTATGGCTATACCCAACTATTACCAGTATCTCTTTAAAAGCATGCTTGAATTTTGTCCTGCATCTTTGCCATTAATCATTAGAGACATGATCATGAGATCTTAAAGCGGATTTCCACGTGGGACAAGTCATGTATGTGTGGCTATTTTATTTTCTGTAATACCTACAAAACTAGGGGATTTATTTTATAGCTGTGTTCTTATGCTGTGCTACAGTACATGCTATATGCTTCCTAGTTTCTTTAATTGTTCATTATTATATATTTTTGTGGTTGCACATCCATGCCCCATGCAGAATGTAATGTTTCATTTCATGTGTTTTTGTATATTAGTATTTTCGTAAATAAATCAAAATCTGCATAATCTGTATACCAGGTACCATATATCAATAAAGCAACTACTCTTTCCTTTTTCAGAGAACAAAGATGCAGCCTTTAACTTGGGGAGTGAAGCTATCCTGACATGCAGCAATAAGACATGGAAAGACATGTTGTTTGTCACCTGGGATATACATGTAGAACGGAATATCAAAAGCTGTAGAATAGCCTTTAATGGTAATGGACAAAACGAAGACTCGTGCGATGGCAAGACGTCACTTCAAAACACATCTAGCTCTCAGTCATACCTGCACATCCCAAAGTTCTCCAAGGATGACGTGGGGGTCTACAAATGTTATTCTGTTTACAAAGGAGGAACCAACAATTATGAGTTCAATGTCACCATCACAGGTAGGACCTTTTCCCTCACAAGGACATTATGTAATAACATCTGTTTAGCCTTGATTTTGAAATATCTACTTAACCCTAATATTAATAATAATCATAAAATAAAATAGATTTCCTGCTGTTAAGTGAATTTTGTAAACCCCCAAAACATTATGCCTTTCCACACAGTTAAAAGTCCCTCTTATATGGACAACATTACTGTTGATTTTTAACTGTAACTCTTTTATACTCAATATAAAACCTAGGCTATCAAATAAAAACTACTTTCACGGTTTAGTGCATTATGTATATGGATGGATTTACATAAAGTATCCTGAGAGTCTGATTTATCCTGTTTTGTGCTCAGTTCCTCCCAGGTTATCATCTTGGTTAGACACTAAGGACAACAAGATGGTGGCGGTGTGCAAAGCTGAAGGAGGGAATTCTGCTGCCAACATCAGCTGGAGTCATTCGGGAAATGTTTCGATTCTGGAAGTGATAGACTCTCAGGGTTTATTTACAGTAGAAAGTCGTTTCGAGCTCCCTGAGGGAATGGACACAGAAAACCTGACTTGTTCTATTAGGCACCCATCTATCTTGGGAGGCCAAAAGACTTTAGCACTAAAGCCCAAAAAAGGTCAGTCTTTTGCTGAGTGGATGACATGAGAGAAAACATTGGGTGTGGGGCAAAAGCAATAACATGTTTTAAAATGATTGAATGTCATTGACGAGGTATATTACTGTAGCAATTACAACCTTAGAAATGTTATGCTGTATTGTTAATTATTGATGTTCAGCAAATATTCTCAAACCTATAATCTTTCATCTCTCCCTGCAGGTTATGGTCCCTGGCTCTACATCCTTACTGTTGTGGTCATCATTGTGTTTTTGGCAGGAGTTTTATTTTTTGCACAAAAGACACTTTGGAGGTAAGTCTTTTAATGAGAAACAAATTAATCACAATGTCTAATTGCAACCTTTTTGTTAAATGACTCGATTGTGTTTCAAACGTTTAGGCGCTGCAAGCTTTCCGAATCATCACCATCCAAATCTCCACCGGTGGGTGTCTCTCCTGTTTGTCAGCAGTTTGTTGTTCTGTGGGTTTTACTGCACATTGTGAACTCTTCATAATGACACCTCTCTGGTTTTTACAGACAGAAGATGTGGAGGAAGTGGAGCCATACGCCAGCTATGTTCAACGTGTCAACTCTATCTATAACTCATCTGCAGATTTGTTCACATAAAACCCTGCACATGGATCACACTCTCACTCACACTCTCACACACACACACACACACACACACACACACACACACACACACACACACACACACACACACACACACACACACACACACCACACACACACACACACACACACACACACACACACACACACGGCTCGCTGTGAGAGCCTGAAGGATGTGAAACTGAGAAATGGTGAAATAGTGATAAAGCGGAGACTAAGTGAGATAAAATATTTCCGATCAGAGGCCTCCGAGTGTTATTCTGCCCGGACTGAATTTTTGACTGATGGAACAGGGGACTAGTCACACACTAGTTCTCATGTACAGCATTCATGCACCTCTATGTGTGTGTGCGTGCCATTGAAATCATTAGCATACTACTTACAAATTCAATGAACCAGCACGCCAAGTCTACAGAGTTTTTTCATGAAATACATGGACTACAATTATATGATCAGTATTATCTTTATTATTATACCAAATATTTATAGATATATAGTTATGCTTATATTTTAAATTATGCTTGTTGAAGTCAATCCAGTAAAAGAGAGAACACAGTAATATTACCTCAAGATATGTGAATTATTCATGTGATGTGCTAATACATCATGTAATGGGTTAATTAAACACACATCTGAACACATTGGGGAGCTCTACAACATTTTAAAAGAACACTACAAGTAGTACACAGGAACAAGAACAGGATGTTGTTTTCTTCTAAATCGAAGTCATTTCCAATAATGTTAACGTGTCATTAGTTTCAGTCGTGTGACACAAAGTGTTAAAAGCAACACTTGAAAAAAAATGTCCCACTGTGTTTAATTTTGGAACAGATCAATTCCCTAATGAGTTTTTAGACCTGCAGCAAACTGATAACTGTTTTATCATCTACCTTTTGTCATGACTTTTTTGATTATCAGCCTTGAACTGTCCAGATAAATGTTGAGTATTGGAATTTGATGCAACACTTTCATGATGAGTGTAACCCCAATTCTGAAGAAATGTGTGTTAGGGGATAGGAAATGGAAACTGGCAAAAGAGACTGTTCTGCCATCTACTGGTGGAGATCTGAACATCCATGGTCATGAAGGTGCATTGTGTCAGTCTGATTTACTGAAGGATGTCTGAAGAATGATACCATTATGAACACATGTATTAGGCAACAGGTTGGGCTTGCTGAAGTCATTTCCAGTTTTTTTTTAATGTGCTTCCAATCTCATTGATTGGAGCCGAAAGTTCCCTTTTATGTAAAACGATGGTCTTGCTGTTTAAATTCTGAGATTAAATCCAAAACTGCAGCTGCTTTAATGTTCCTAAACGTCTCATTTATTACAGTTTTTCTCGATTGCTAACACACTAAAATTATACATAAAGCACAATTATTTTAACTGACACTGAAAGAGCAAAACATCGGCTCAAATCTCCAAAACTCTAAACACGTTTTCAGCTTTTCACACAATTTGCAAATCAACATGGCACTTTTTGCAAACCACTGCACACGTTTCTCCACGTAAGACACACAGGACATAAAGTCACGTGTTAGCAGGTTTAAAACACTGATATTCAAAATGCCTCACACATGGACTAATGATCAAGAAACACGTTCCACCTGACCAAACACCTGAATGCATAACTGTTGGCTCATCAATCAGGATGTTAGCACTATAAAAAGACCACAGGTGAGTACTTTCTTACAGCAACAATGGAAGCCAACATGGAAGCATGAGCAAGAGCAAGAGGAAGAGGAAGAGCTGGGCTGAGAGTGAGAGGAGGAGGAAGAGCTGGGCTGAGAGTGAGAGGAGGAGGTAGAGGTGGGGTGAGAGTGAGTGGAGGAAGAATGAGAGGTAGAGGTAGAGCTGGAGGGAGAGGACGTGGACAAAGAAGAATACTCTTTACAGTTTTTCTCGATTGCTAACACACATTTTTTTTTAAATTGCTCAGTTTCTCAGAACACTAAACACAATTCACAAAACCACACACCCAAAGTGCAAAACACCTCATTTCTCCTGCTAAATGAAGAACTGCACTCAAAACGACATAAACACTTACCAAATGCAAACTTTTGCACCAAATATAACACACTTCATTCATAATACTAGATTGTTTGACCACCCACTACACACTGAGCATAATCTAAAGCACTTTCATCTGTTATGGGCTATGCTCTGTACATAGAGGTTTCTGCAGAGAAAGATTGCTTGCTTATACAGAAATACAGTAAATGAAGAAATACAAATGAGTTGTTGAAAAAAAATCATATTTTATTCAAAAATAACATTGTGCAACATGCATCTCAGCACATAGTTACTATGCTTCGGATCTCTCTAAGTGTGATGGCGTTGTTTGCCAAAACCCAGTTTGTAACTGCTGCTTCCTGTGCCTCATTGAACATCCTTAGCCTTCCACCTGCACCTCTTTGTTTCTCAGTCCTTCAGATAAACAACAAAGATATAGTGGTTGGTCAGTGTCTGTGTTGCATAAAAGTAAAATTGTGCAGGAGTTTTGTACAGTTATAGTATGCAACATGCCAACAATTCAATTACAGTAATGAAGTAAATACGTTTCACACAACAGATATAAGCACTGATACATCATGAATTGTGCAGAGCTAAAAACTGGTAACTAACCTGTTTTCAAGTCTAAGTGTCCGGATTACAGAGGCAACAGTACATCGGCTTAGATTAGGCTGCACCCTGTGTCCAGCCTCTCTCATCGTCAAACCATGGTTGATAACATTTCATTTCATTAGAGAGTTCCTCCTCCTCTCACTCTCAGCCCAGCTCTTCCTCTTCCTCTTCCTCTTGCTCTTGCTTCCATGTTGGCTTCCATTGTTGCTGTAAGAAAGTACTCACCTGTGGTCTTTTTATAGTGCTAACATCCTGATTGATGAGCCAACAGTTATGCATTCAGGTGTTTGGTCAGGTGGAACGTGTTTCTTGATCATTGGTCCATGTGTGAGGCATTTTGAATATCAGTGTTTTAAACCTGCTAACACGTGACTTTATGTCCTGTGTCTTACGTGGAGAAACGTGTGCAGTGGTTTGCAAAAAGTGCCATGTTGATTTGCAAATTGTGTGAAAAGCTGAAAACGTGTTTAGAGTTTTGGAGATTTGAGCCGATGTTTTGCTCTTTGAGTGTCAGTTAAAATAATTGTGCTTTATGTATACTTTTAGTGTGTTAGCAATCGAGAAAAACTGTAATGAAATCCGAGCCACTTTGATTGACCATGTTATCAACCATGGTTTGACGATGAGAGAGGCTGGACAGACGGTTCAGCCTAATATTTTTTAAAGTTTTTATTTCTGTCTACTGTATTTGACAGAAGCATCATTTTTGTTTTGCGGTACAGAAACAACTGTAACTATGTGCTGAGATGCATGTTGCACAATGTTATTTTTGAATAAAATATGATTTTTTTTCAACAACTCATTTGTATTTCTCCATTTACTGTATTTCTGTATATTCAAGCAATCTTTCTCTGCAGACACCTCTATGTACAGAGCATAGCCCATAACCGATGAAAGTGCTTTAGATTATGCTCAGCAGTGGGTGGTCAAACAATCTAGTATTATGAATGAAGTGTGTTATATTTGGTGCAAAAGTTTGCATTTGGTAAGTGTGTATGTAGTTTTGAGTGCAGTTCTTCATTTAGCAGGAGAAATGAGGTGTTTTGCACTTTGGGTGTGTGGTTTTGTGAATTGTGTTTAGTGTTCTGAGAAACTGAGCAATTAAAAAAAAAAGTGTGTTAGCAATCGATAAAAACTGTATTTGGTTGGACAGAAAAGAGGAAACTAAAGACTTAATTTCTTTCTACATGAAACTCTTTTCATGACATATCTGATGACATATCTGATGACATATCGTAACAAATGAACATGTTTTTCTCACTCAATTGTAACTAAAAACCTTACTGAAGGGTTCATTTTAAATAAAAAAGATTATTGCTACAACCTCTTGTTTTCAGCGATGCAGTTGATGCAACAGAATAACACACAAAGGTTTGTAATAAAAGTTGTAAACTTTTAATCAATGAAAAAAGATAAATAAAAATGAAACAAATGCAACCTTCACCAATACACCATGCATCAAATCAATCAAATAAATTATTCTATCGATCGGCTATAGAGAAACATTTACGCATTTTCTGCATACACATACGAAACAAGGAACAAATAAAAGTTCTCAAGCATTAAATATCTATTTGCAGTAGTTCTAGGAAGCACTATTTTACAAAATGGGCACGCAATCTGGAAATCAGTATAAGATATGTTTTATGGACATTATCACATAAACAATACATCCATTATGGATTTGATTATGTGGCAAGGGCACACATTTCACACACAAGTATACAATTTTATCGTGCAAACTGTCAAGCTACAATCATAGTTAGAAATGGCTGGTTGAGTCAGCTCCAGGTGGGTTTTCTGCTGGAGAAACTTTGGGTATGGGTGGAGCCATGTTTTGGCTCTGTTTCAATAAAAACAACAGATAAAGATCAAAATGTTGTCTTCAGTGGAAAGTCATAGTCACAGCATACTCTTATAACAAGTCACTGTGCTTCTTCAGTGTTCACCTTATGTTTACTGTTTTTCTTAGCTGCCATTCCTTTTCCTTCCATTGTGGGAAAAGAGTCCCTCCACTTGTGTAGCACCTCTACACGACACCTCTCAGCGCTGAAGGTAACACAATGAATACACTAATTATTACGACCCCATTGTCTATACATGAAAAACATATGGAAAAGTCATCAAATCCTGGCTTTTAGATTAAGATTAAATTAGTTCTACATCCTTCAGGTAATGCCGTAACAACAGTGGTTTGTCAGAAGCTACTGGTTCAACTGTCTGTAAAACAAAAATAGCCTCTGGCATTCACGTCCAAATCCCAAATATTATGTGCAAAATGTATACAACATACTAATTATATTCTGTATCTACAACATACAAATTAAATTTGTATGTAAACATCAAATTACTTAAGCATTTCATACTAACAGGAACATCTGATATCAGTTAAATTGTGACTTTGGGAAGCTACTAAAAGTTTTCTGCAAACGTGTATGCAGTTAGAATAGTTCTTAAGACTTTGATACAGGTCATCGTGTGAATAAGGGGCTTGTGAAAACCTATTGGATTTGCCTTTTTGAGAATTTGCCATTCATATGACAGGCAAAAGTCAAGCCACACACCATTAGTTTCATCTGACTTACTGATTCCAGATATATTGAGGTCATGACTTTTCATATCTAACTGAAGAGTTGCAGATAATTGTCTAGGTTGAGTTTTTAAAGGGCAAATGCGATGTAAGTGTGTATTCTTGATAAGTGAAATCCCAGTCCTGTTCAGTCATTTTGCGTCTTGTTGTTTCTGCTGAAGTAGAATTTGGATGATTTTCTTTTTCATTTTGCCACAGTTTCTTCATTGAAGATCAAAACTGTTTGCAATATTAAATACAAGTCTTTGGTGCAATAGCCCAAATGAACCTGTCCTTGTCTCCTTTCACCCCATGAGGACATAGTCGTCTGCACATTCGTCTTTAGAGGAGCACTGAGACACACGTTCGGGCTGAGGTGGCGGTGGGACAAAAACTGTTGCATAGTCACAATCATCGTCAGCAGTAGCTCTGGTTCTACTCGGTCCTTTGGCAGTGGTGTGGTCAATAGAGGCGTACAACACCTCCTCCTTAGGCTGTCGTGAGATGATACACAGAGTCAGATGTAATTCCTGAACATAAGTCACACATCAATCATTGTTCTTTATTTATGCAGTGCTATTTCAACCAGCAGGTTTGTTTTTTTATGTTAGTGGTGGTTATTACTTCCTGCTGAAATAAAGAGCCTCACAGTGTCTTTTACAGCACAGGTCTTACACTCATGTTCCACTATGCAAATCTAACGGGGCAGCACCTCTGATTAGGCCAGATAAAAGCACAGGAACACAACTATGTTCAATATAAAGCTGATACTATGACAAAAATAGACCTGATGTGGGGATGTTTACCTTACTGTCTGTGCTGTTTCTTCCATCAGCTGCAGTATCCCCTGAGAGAAGATAACATGTATATGAAAGGAAAACTGTTCAGCCTAATATACATATATTCTAATTACTATAGATGTTTCCTTACCTTTCCTTTTCTTCTTCCTGGCAAAAAGAGCAATACATTCATTAGTATGAGATACATTCATTGTATGAACATGTTTATATGTCTTGATGTGATACCTTAAACCATAATCTCAAACATCAAACAACATCTTTTAAGAGGTGTAGGTTTTACCACAGTAGTGTTTCCTTGACAGCTCAGCAGATAACAGTGTGTGCTGCAACAGGAAACACTTTGAATATGCAACCCACATCTTTCTATGACCACCTGTATTTGTCAGTGATTAACTACATGGGACAAGGCATTTTGCATACTTCTAGGGCCACATATGACATCATGTTTAAAATAAAAATGTAAAGGACTGTAAGCCAAGTCTTTATGTTTGAAGCCGGCTGACACCAAGTCTATTCTGAAACCACTATTTCCTCACTGACGCAAATGCAGAAGCTGCTTAAAACAGGGTCAACATGCAACAGTGTTTCATTAAACAAGCGCCTCTAACTACTTCATATTATTTCATTAAAAGAAGGTCTTGCCATTATTTTCCTCTAGTTTAATCAATCACATTTTCTGTACATGCAGCACTTTCAAAAAGCTGTTTGAGCATTATAACCACCTGATGAAAATAGCTTAGTGTAGTGCCCTTTATTATATTTGAACCAAAGTTCCATGACTTACCCTGAAGTGCAGTTTCCCATGATTCACCCCACAGAGTCCTGATGTTCACACAGTGTTTGTCAGCAGGTGGCGGGTCTCTGTTGCAACCCTGAGCTTGACACTGAAGTAGACACTGATCTCACTGATCTCACTCCCGATGTATCTGAGTGCAAACAGGCCAGAGAGAGAGAGGGAAGGGGGGGGGAGAGAGAGAGAGAGAGAGAGAGAGAGAATACAAAGCCTTTTTTGTGTGACATTTGTATTTCCTGTGCCCCACCATAAGAAACAAACACGTGCATTTTGCCCAAAAATTATAATAAGCACAAGCACATAGCACACAGATCATAGTCGAGCAAATTCTTACATTATAATTTGTCGCAATACTTTTAAAACTTTATCCTACAAACATGTGCATTTTCTTCATCTCCATAACACCATTTATATTTAAATGAATACCAAGAATAAACAATCTTTATTACACCTCACAGGTGTTAGTAGATTTAGGATGGAAACTGTAATATTATTTTGGTTCAAGAGTAAACCGTTTGGTAGAGTGTCATTTGCATGATTTTGTAAATGTTGTTGATGAGTAATATGAGGAAGTCACTGACCTTTCTTTCATATTAGGTAAAAATGCCAGTTTGCTTCACAGGCTGTGTCATTGTTAAGAGTCTAGACTTGTATGGATGGATGAATGGGTTTCTAAAATGCAAAATGCAGTAAAGTCTGTTTTCTGACTGACAAAATATCTGATTTTTGAGATTGTTTCAGAAAACGAATGTTCAGGTCTGTCAAATGTAGTTCATGGTACTACATTACCCACTAGATGGTGCTGTTGGAGCAGTCTGGGTAACACAGTCCTACCCAGGGTTCGAGTTATAAACTGAGCTCTATGGGGGTCTTTAAAACTAACGCACACACACACACACACACACACACACACACACACACACACACACACACACACACACACACACACACACACACACACACACACACACACACACAGCAGATGCAGGCCTCTACTTGCTACAAACTTAAATATGAAAAGATTCGACTACGCACACACACATCTCGGCTCGCGCAGCACGCTCACAGGCACAGATTGCGCAATAATGTATTGCAGTGCAGGCATATTGTCATTCAAGAGATGCGTTGTTCTTTTGGAAAACATGTTTTTCTTTTAGCCTATTTACCTTGTTAACGTAAATAATACTCATTACATTGACACATGCATTATTTGTGATTAAAATAATGGTTGTTGGTAATGTATTAGCGACCCCCACAGATGTATGATTTCACTGCATCCGTGGGAGCTCAGACCCCTCCTTATGGGAGCTCAGCTCCCATTGGCTCCCACATAACTCGAACCCTGGTCCTACCACATGAGCATAACATGGCCTCAGTCTACAGAAGAGTAAGTGTAATATACACAATTCAAACAAAAGACACAAAAACAACATCACTTTTGTGTATGTAAAAAACACGATGCAGTCCATCCATAGCCACCAATCATCTACACCTGTGATGAATAACAAATTATATCTATGCACATTTTGTTCTTATTTTAATTGATAAGACAGTGTGACTTTGAAGCCAGAATTTCACAACTTCCTGCTCGGCTCTTGAGACACTTTAGGACTACGTAACAGAGTTGTTGAGATGATGAATATGTACACATTACAAAAGTGATCCCCAGTCCCTTGATACAAAGTAACAAGCCAACTCAATGACCTTTAGAACTTGTGTTTCAGCGTTTGGATTAAGGAGGGCCTTACATCTGTGTGTTTCTGTTAGGGTGTGTTTCAAAATTAGATAGCGAAGATAGGCACGCTATTTTCATGTGTGTACATCCTGACCTGTGTTGTCTCGTGACATATTGAGACCCACACATGCTTGGTGGTCTTTGTGTGGGTGGAAAGGAAGTGAGCTTGTCACAAGTGAAATAAGCCCAAGCAGTAGTAGCAGCAGTGTAAGATAAACTGTGAGAAGTCATGGTCATGAACACATCAGGTAGAATGGATAGACTACCATACATCCATCTGCTGATATGTTGCTGTTTTACCTTTGTCTGCATCTCTGGAAAAGGTAATGGTAAGCCTTAACACTCTTTATCTTGTGATCTGACATTCAATAGTTGGAAGACTATAAATATATAATATAAATCAACTTACATAGGTACTTCACTAAGTACAGTTTTGAAAAACGTGTCTTTTACATTTGATGCAGCTTTATATTTCATCTACATTGTACTTGACTACATTTATTTGACATATGTAGTTACAACAAAGTGTGCAGGTCTACATTAGACTAGAGAAAAGTTACTCTTTAGATTACAGCATGTGAATAAGTATTGTATAAATTGTGTTTAGTTTATTATAGGATCCCCATAAGCTGTCCCCTAAAGCACCTGCTAGTTTTACTCCTTAAGTAAGTGAGGATTAACACAGGTTAGAAAGGAGGAGGGCACAGACTTTTTGTTTTAAAGTTACTTCAAATATATGGCAGGACCAAAATAATGTGGAAGCAGTGATGATTTTTTTACAAGTTTTAATATATTTTCAAAAAGGTTTCTTGCACAAAAGATGGCTTTTAAATATAATTGTTATTGTTTTTTTAAAATGTTTTATCTAATGTAAAACTGAAATACAAGACTAAAACTGAGTTTTGGATGATATCAGATATTTTTTGTGTATTTTTGTAGACATCTCTTCATGTGCAGTGATGGTCCGAAGCGGCGCGACATATAAAACTGTCCCACAACACAATGTGACGGTCAGCTGTCCCGTCAAACACTGTGGAGAACCAATCAAAGTCACCTGGTGTAAACTGGACACAGCAATCAAATGGGATCAGATTAAATACAAAGAGAATATAGAAATAACACAGACTGACACTAAGGATGGACTCATCTCATATCTGACCTTTACACGGATTACCTCTCAGGACGACGGCCTGTACAGATGTTCTGTAAAAGGATACAAGTCTGAGCAGATCAGTCACAGCATCAACGTCTCAGTGTCAGGTAGGCAGTTTTGCTCAATTAGTGCCAAAATAGATGTATAATAATCAATAATAAATGTAATATAATTTATATTCATATACAGATTCAAACACGGACATACATGTACATGACTTGGACTATAGCGCAGGTAAGAACTTTGTATTATTTCTTAAGTTATACAAATACTTTTGAATGGAAAAAGACTAAAACTACTGATCTGTTTCTTTTTCTGTAGATGAGCTACCAAGCTCTGCTTCTGCTGCTGTTGCCGATGCCGGTGAGGATGTGTCATGGCTGCCCTACTTCTACATCTGTGTTGGCATAGCTCTTCTGGTTTTCACGCTGATAGTGTTAACCATGCTGGATTCTTATGGCTGGAAACGTAATAACATTCCCAATTTGAATTACAGTGAAACAAATGTTCTAGATCTTTCCAAATAACCATGGAACATTTGTTTTATGTCTTCTCTACAGGAATAATGACCTTCCACCACACAAAGGGAACGGCATTGCAGGTAATACATGTGAAGTAAACTAAATGATTTCTTGCAGCTTATTTGAGACTATTGTTCTTGCAGGATTTCTGTTGCTGCTTGCTTCTTTGGATACAAGTGTCAGCTAATTGTAATGTAATTAATCGTTTCTGGAAATACATTTACATCCATTCTTGCTGAAAGTTCTATAAGAAGTTTGATAGCACTCTCGTCTGTGACGTTGTTATTGGACATCTTACTTTAACCAAATTTCCCAAAATGTCTAACAAATCCTTCAACCCAGATGGTCAAGAGTCAAAATGGTGTCAAGCAAGAGCATTTTCCGGGCTTATCTAATCTTAAATCTGGTGTTTTGGTGTCATAGGAAAGGTCCAGTCAGATGATACCCAACCTCCCCAGTGCGAGTGCTCCTTCCACTTTTTACTTACATGACATCAACTACTCTCCTGCGGAAAGACCACCATCACACCCCCACCCATCACACCCTCCCCTGAGGACCAATGGGGAGCAGCCTGCTGCGGCAAACACAGCGGCTGAAGGTCAAGTGTCAGACCACGCAGTGTATGCAGCCGTCACACACAGGTCTCAGATACCTGCCGGAGAACAGGATGCTGTGACGAAAAAGAACGCAGAGTATGCTGCCATCAATGTTTCCTGAACATTTTGGATTTGTCATAGCATGGCATGCAGAGGGAAACATGGATGGAACATTTTACAGTTATGTGTTGGTGTCATGGAACAGCAATCAACCTCATCGCAGAAGAGGTTAACAGAGGAGGCTTGTGGTCCCGCAGATGCACAGCACACTCACTCACACTCAGAGCACACTCACGTTAAATGAACAGCGCGAAACCACAGGCAGCATTGTTTTTTTTTTACACCCTCAGGTTTGTTCCAGGCAAGGCTGCTTTCTTGTCATTTTTCTTCAGATGTTTTCCCCTAAAGTCATTGTATTTCCGTGACTTATAGGGCTTTTTCTACTCAATGACCCTTTGTTGGCCAACGCTTTGGTAGTTTGTATAAAAAAAGCCATAGTGGCAAAGATGTGTTATTTTTGTCTGATTTGGAATGAAGACCGAAGTTTGGGAGGTTTCTACATCTTGTAAAAACAAATTACAAAACAATCATTAGGTGATCTGTGACTGTGAAACCCTTTGTTTGAGTCATGAATGTGGAGTTGTTTTTTATCTACTTTTGAATTATTGAGGTGACAATGTATAAATGTTTGGCTAGATGATTATAACTTTTTTATTGTCTACCTGGGAGACTGAGAGGTAACATCTTGAGCAAATTCTCACACATTTTGCGTTCCCACACACAGCCTTATGACTTGTTGTCTGCCTCCGACGGAAACACTGTCACCCTGGTCACCCATTGCCCACAGCAGTGTGGCTTGGGTTAAATGAGCTCGAAGTCACAGAGGGGAAAGAAAGATATCTTCACATCATTTTTTTGTGGCAGGTGTCTCGCCTTAGCTTAACCACACACGGTTTAGATACTGAGATACTGAAGGTTTTAGTTTTAGCAGTGGTCTTATCATAATGGTGGTCACACATCCAGCAAGTTGAGTAACATGCATGACGGAGGTAAAATGGTAAAACCAATTTACCATCTGACAATAATATGTCAAAATAGACCATGAGTTTTTGGTCCCCAACGTGTTTTAGCTTTTACCTTAGAAACAAATCAATATCTTTCAGAGAGCCATGGCCTTAGTGTGAGAAGTTTGACTAAAAGTGATTTTCCTCTCAGATTCCCTAATTGAAAGGATTTTAATTAAAAACAATATTTTCGGTCAAATAGCCTGTTCTTAATACAACCATCAGCAAATGATGAATTAAAGACATATGTATATGCCATAGGCCAAATAAACTTGTATGCCATTTCAAAATGTATTCTGAAGGTATTTGGCTGCTTCTAGTATAACTAAAGAAACAGCGCATGAAGGTTTGAAAGCATGGCTTGACTCTCTTTTAAGTGTTTCCAATTTGATTATCACAAGAACTGGCTTGTCATGAATTAATTGTGAAACATTCAGTTGTTTCTTCCATGATGTATCATTGTTGGTGGTGAAATCTTGCTCACATTTAGAAATGACGTAAGCAAAGTCATACACTTACATTGTGTGTACCTGATTCGATTACATTTACTTTTACTTATAGGATAACCCTAACCCTGGTGGAGAAAAATAACAGTTTTAAAAGATGACAGAATTAAGAGCAGAACCAGAAAAGCAGGGATGGCCTTGATCAAGACCACAAAATCACTCATCACTGCCCATCATGCTGATAACACACACCGTGTCATATTGACAATCGGATAATTCAGTTTTCTTTAGAGGATGTCAAGTGGAGCACAGTGTTCCTTGTGCTGTAATCCATTTACAGATGCTCACAAAAGGGTCCTTTCATCAAGGAACAGCATGGGGAAAATGTCATGAAATGTAGTTTCATAACTAATTTGATAACTACGTAAAACTTATTTCACATTTTACTCTCATTGATGTTGTTTAAGGTAAAATGATTTGATGTAGCACTGGCAGCTTTAACGTCATAGTTTATGAATACAGGTTGAACTTTGGTACAGAGTAACAGAGGTGAGCAGCCAGTGTTTAAGGTTACATACACACTCAACATATCTAGCAGAACTAATAAATACTGCATGTTATCCTAGAGCTTATGAATATAACAAAACATAACAGGCATGTGCCGCAGGCTCTGGGAGTGACTGTGTGTGTACAACATGTGTGTTTTTCTTTGGCTCTGTGAGGTCCACCATAATCCGTCTGGCTTGGGATGAAAAAAGCCTCCAAAAATGAACATCTGGCAGCAAGGTTTGGCACAATGGAAAGGAATTTCATGTTTTTCTGAGAGGTACAAAACTAAGCTGAAAAAGCTGAAAGCATGGCAAGATTTTAAATTGATAAAGACTCAGAAACATGAACATTTTCATATATATTTATTATTCTATTTGTTGCATTTATTACATAAACTGGTCATAACGCATCGCTTCATATTCATTTCTTCTTCTATTCGTGACTGTAGCTCCAGATAGATACCATGCTGCATTGATTTGCTTTTTAATACATTTTCTTAAACCACATTTCAGAATTATTTTAACTCTGAACTATGCATATAATGAAGGCTGTCTAAACTTTGATTCAGGAGGAATGAATGTGGTATGCCCGATTAAATCAATATGTTAGAAATCTCAAACATCCTGCATGTCATTCTGTTTATACCTTCATTTTCTTTGATAAACAAGATACTTTCATCTTTTAACTATAGGTTATATGTATTTGAGATGTCTGCCTTTAATCGACAGAGCAACCATAGAGAGAAAGGTAGAGGGAGGGGGGGGGGGGAGGGGATAGTAGCAAAGGTAAGACCCTGGTATTTGAGTCACACGCAAAACCAGGTGAGCTACAGTACTACCGAGGGGTCCAAAGCTTACATTTCTTCATATCCCTGTACACATGCAAACATGATATATCCGAAAAGCATCATAACATTATATTTGAGGCATTAAGACCTCGAAGCTAAGCCGCTACCCAACCTGTAAACTCATCATCACATCTTCACAGACACGAACTGTCCTGAATCTAAGATGTAGACATGCATTCCTGTCAGGGGCACCAAAAAGGTTTCAGTGTTACTCCCCAGGGGAATTGATTCAAGATATCTGACCGTGGAATTTAACCTCAAACACATATGCACACACACACACACACATACGCACACACACACACACACACACACACACACACACACACACACACACACACACACACACACACACACACACACACACACACACACACACACACACACACACACACACACACACAGTAGGTATGCAGCCAATGCTGAACAAATGAAGATCCCACCCAGCTTTAACAATACACAGAAGTGAAGGAGGTCTTCGGCTGAGGTACAGGAAGTAAAACCTTAATGATTAGCTCATAATTTCAATTAGCTATGTTATTTACTGTAAAGGATAAGGCTGGTAATATTCTGTATTTTTCCTAGTATCCAATGTAACAGGAGCCAACCTCTACAATACTGGTTTGGTTGGGAACTAACTAAGATGTTATCCTTAAAAAATAAGGCATTTTAGAATGAATAGCTGGTCACTGTAGTTTTAAGTAAATGTTACTTATAAATAGTGAGTATCCAGCCGGAAATAAACACACAATACAACAAATTACAGTGTTCTGGTCACTGGTACAACATGTTGCTCAGTATTTAGTTTTAATAGTTTTTAGGCAACAATGCAGGGGTATGATATTTCAGACTTTTAGTAGTAGAATCAATTCATTGTTGGTTTTAGTCTTATTGTTGAATAAGAAAAATCGAACAATACCAACCATATCTTTTCAGGACTACGTAAAAGAAAGAGAAAAATAGAGGAAAGTATTTTAGGGACATGCAATGTTTTGTTTGCTGTGCAATGTGCAGAGTGTGGTCATGGACTCAATCAATTACAGAGCCAGAGAGAAAAAGTTATCTGCTCAGCATTTCCTCATTGACTTCATGTGAGGACAGCCTGGAGATTATATAAGAGTCAGATGCGGAAGAGCAGAGGTGAATGTCGTTGTACAGTTGGCGTTCATAAATAGGATTGTATATGACATCCTATAAAGGTGTGTCAGGACATCTTTCCTTCGTACCTAGATAATGATGATGATGATGATGATGATGATGATGATGATGATGATGATGATGATGATGATGATGATGATGATGATGATGATGATGATGATGATGGTGATGAAGATGCAGGGAAACTTTTCTGCAAGGTCGGCTCTGAAAAACATTGCCTTTTCTTTTCAGCCACTGGTCTCATCTTGTAGATTAATCGGCTGAAAGCAGAAGTACAGAGAGACACAAAATGTAAGACTTATGTAAAAAATGTCAATCTTTTCCTATATTAAATGTTCGAGGTAGGAGAATACAATATAAAGGTCCCCTGTTTTTCATCAATATATTACAGGTCTCAGATATATACAAAACATGTCTCTGAAGTGTTTGGCTCCAAATACCAAACAGATCATGCATTGTAGCATCCCATAAACCCCTCTGTTTCAGCCCTGTTTCAAAAGTGCTGATTCTGTGTCTTTTACTTTAGATGAAAATAAGGAGCCACTCCCCTCTGAGAGATATTTGGTTAAAAAGAACACACTGGTGCTCTAGGAGGAGATTCAGGTGATAAGGGGGTACATTGGCTGGTTATTGGCTAATAGTTACACAACCCAAAAAAATCGTTATGACATCATAAAGTGGCCAAAATCTGATCAGCTCATTTTCAGACAGGTTTTTATATAAATGGATCAGGGCAAAAAGTGAGCGAATCTTTTTTCCTGAAATGTTCAGAATCTCTTTACATTGAGGGGACACATGTTTATGTATAAAATACATGACAAAGTGGATTTTGCATAATAGGTGACCTTTCAACTCTGACATGGTGTAGCTAGGACATTACAGGTTAGTGAGGAAGACCATAAAAGCAGATCCCACTTCAAACCTGACATCATTCAACTAACTTGTAAAGAAACACATTACAGCTGCACTGAGCTACATTAATACTGGTGTGGCAAAATAGTGACCTAAAGGATAATTACAAAACATGGTATAAACTGATTTTTACATCATCTGATCTTGTACAAAGCTTGATCTGGAGTGATGAGGTCTGGATCATGCAGTTGTATAGTTTGATTATAATTTGTGTTTTTTGCCACTAAAGTATAAAATGACCTTTTTTTAACATATAATTTGACTTTTTCGTGACAGTACTCTCACATTTTCAGATCCTGTCTATCAAGGCATTCATTTGAGTTATGCTTTGGCCAGTGTGCAGGTATTTCCTCTATCTACATCATTCATATTGCACTGTGCAGACACGTGGTTTATTCCCTTCATGCACAGACAGAACACATTGATTAGACAGGCGAATAAAGTGCAGATGGAGTGAAGGTAGCAAACAAAAGATGCCATAAGCAGGCAATCATGTGAATGAAAAGAGCTGTTAGCTCCTGTTGGCATGAACGACCTCAGAGAAAAGAAAACAAAGAGACTAAAAGGCGCGGTAGAGCTGATTCACATATCATTAAAATGTATCTGATTAGTGCAGCAATAACGTTTATTTTTGTGCTAATATAACTGCCTGTTTCCAGACGTCTCCTTTAAGAAATGAGCAGATATGATGAGTGTGAGATCTGGAGTGAAACCAGGGATCTGTTACAGAAGTAAGAAAACATTATTCAATATCCAATTGAGTTTTACCAAAACTACTTTCTCAACAGTTCGTCACGTAGCTTGCTTAATATATTTAGATGAGAATGCTAGTTTAAAAAATTAAAAAATTAAATATGGTATTGTTTATACAATAGGAATATTCTCTAGCAGGTTTTAATAAACGCTATCTCTCATAAGCCCTTGATGATCACGGCTCAACAGAACTGGTTCATGAGAGAGGAAGTAAATGTCCTTTGACTTTGTTGAAATCGTGAAAGTCTCAATTTCAAGATAGGGATTTGTCTAAAGTACATCTCAGAAACATGCTTCACTTTTTCAGAAAGATAGATGTGAAACAAAGGCGAGCCAGTCGGTGTTGCAGCGGCACATCCCAAAGGGCCGATGTTCCTTTTCATTGTTTCTGTAGACACCTGGACAGTTTGCCAAAACCCACAATAGGGAGGAAGCTTAAGATATATAAATGATGGACTTTAAATTACCTGAGGAAAGAATGATGATTGTGTGAATATATCTGTACAAATGATACCAAACAATCCAGGAGAGTTTCTCCCCACTGTCTTCTGCACATATACTGTATATATAAATGAACTGGTGTTTAAGCATCAGATGTATAGGAGTATGACTCTTGGCAATATATTTTGTTTACCATTCATTCTTGATATAATGTAAACCCTGATATTACCAAACATGATCTTACCTTCTTTGCGTAAGAAACACTTCCAAAGGCAGAAGCAGAGGGACATGACCAACAGGGCAGCCACCGTAGTGACGGAGATCAGGATAGTGAGAGCCGTCCCAACTACGAGGGAGAAAAACAAAGAACTGATCAGCAGCTTTGTTATATTCCATATCTATATAATCTATAATCTCTAATATACTGCTCTTGCAGAAGCCAGATTTAAAGTCATGATACGTCTTACAGTATGTGTGTTTGTGTACTATAAGGCTAGACTGGACAATGCCTCCCTTTTATGGCCCATCACTGATTGGATTTGAGATTCAAACTGTTTGCAACTAATTCCTCTAATGTGTGAACTCCTGACCAAGGTCAATTTAGGGTTATCAGCTAACTAAAGCAAAGCGATTTACACATGACACTTATGAGCACATTTAACTTTTGCCCAATCATTAGCTGCATTAAAACTAATAAATATGTTTGTTGTAGTTTCCCTTTAGAGTCTCTAACAATCTCGGCTTTATCATTTGCTACTAGGAAATAGATCTGAGGTGATGCTATCTAGTACTTTTGGAGTATTTAAAAAAAAAAAGACACAATGCTATCAAACAATTAGAGGTTCTCATTGAAGCGGAGTCTAACACACAAACTCACTTTTAGTGTTCATGGATACAGCAATCGGTGACTCAAGCCCTTTGTGGTGCACCAAGCATTTGATGGACACGTCTTTCAGCAGCCCTGATTGGACGGTCAGCGTACTGATGACCAGAGTGGTCCCGTCGCTCTGTGGGATCTGTGTTGTCAAAGGGGGGCCCATGGTGCGGTTATCCCTCTCCACGTTCCACACTATCTCTGCCGGGGGCCGCGACACTGAGGTGCAGTTGGCTGCGATCACACCTGGAGACGTGGTCTTGTAGCTCACCTGAGGTTTGGGCAGCACTGAGAGAAAAAGAAAGAAGAAACACACATTTACAAACAAGCTCATACAGTGCTAGATGTATAGAGCTCATCATGAGTTCACTGAAATGCACAGGGAGTTAATGTTGTATTGCTCCTTCCTTCATCTTAAGATAAGATAAGATAAGAAGTACTTTATTGATCTCAATTTGGGAAATGTTTGCGTTGCAGCAGCATAAAAAAAAAAGACAATGTACATAAGAGAAATCAAAAGAAATAAACAATCCAAAATATTTCTCAAATAGAAATAAAATAGCATTCAAAAAGTAAAAAATATACATGTGAAAAGGATATTATATATACATTAATTTGGCAAGGAATGGATTATTAAATATTAAATTGAACATAAATGTACTGTATCTTTTGTGCTGTGTGTGAAATACAGCACACTGCGGGACTGGAATATTTAACGTGTTATTTTCATCCAGAAACAGGCCAGGACTCAGATTATGTCTTTCATTTGCTGAGATCTACGTATACAAATCTTTGGATCAGGTGAGTGTCTAAATTCCTGCAATCTTATTATCCATAAGTCAATCGCTGGCTGTTTTCAATTCCCTGCTCTCGGGGCTGAGCAAGGAATGTGATTCACTGGAAAAGAGAATATTTTTGTTGGCATGATCATGTTCAGCCACAGATATGTAGCCCTCATAGTTTCAGCATCTTCTCTGAGTTCTAGGTGCTGAACTTCACCCACAATGCGTCTGGATTGTATCAGATTTCAGGGTGGGTTAAACCACACCAGTAAAATCCTTAAAACAATCCAAACCATAATAACCTGTGAACTACTGTAGCACAATGCAGGCATGAGATTGAGCTTAGCCATACAATTAAATTCCACAGTTTATTCTCACAGTGTTTCTCACCATATTGCGATCCGAATGCAAGGGTAGCTTCAGATTCAGATAATAATAGCTTTTTACATTGTCACATTGACATTTGAATACTTTTTTTTTATAATGATAGATTTTGCCACTTGAATGTTTCTCTACACTTCAGCCACCACTGATATGTAATGTTATCATTTCATCCCATGTAAAATGTAACACACTGACAGCCTTATTATGGCGTGATGACTTTCACGTCTGCAGAGGAATAGCATTATGCAATTTAGAGTTACTAGAATGTTTATTGCTCCTGTGATTTATGTTTTTTGAAAAGGTTAAACCTTGTACTACTTTTTTTTAAATGAAGTGATGTTTTGCTACTAACGAAAATAACATTTTAAAGATACATATTTGATTTTAATGATTCCCTGAATGATAATGTGCATTTGTGTCTTTTAGCTATCACTCTTTGTGGACAGTGTGTGGGAGGGTGGGAGTTTCAATCAGGAGGAGGAATCTCATCATCTGGGCTGGTATAAGGGTGGAAGACTGTTGGCAGCAGTACACAGCAAGAAAAAAAACATACATGCTAATCACGCTTCTCAATTCTCTACTAAAAACACCTACTGTACTGTACAGTTCAAGGTACAGTTCAATTTCAAAACAAAAGCACATCTGTTTGTTGAGATAACTGAGAGAATGCGAGGGGGACAAAATGAGAAACGAGAGACAAAGCACAGAGGGAACCACTGTGTGCCACAAACACTGACACAGTCATGCATCAGGACCTCACTCCCTGCCTCCATCATTCTTTCGAATAGTCCTTTCTTCACATCGACACACTGTTCTGTGTTTGTGTGTTAAATATGTGCCGACAGCTTAGCTTTACTTTTTCACTAAAACATTCAACGGCTACAATAGAGAAGAAAACAACATTCCTGTCTAAATCCCAGGGGTAACCGCCTTCACGCAACCTTCACGGTACACAAAGTCAAAGTGAGTCTCCTTGCACTTGCACACATTTGTTTGTCTCCTCCGCTTTCCCTAAGATATTCTCTTCCCACCTCCTATACCTACTGAAGGACATTATTCAATCACAAGTAAAGCTCTGCAACAAATTGGCATCTGAACTAAGCTTACCTATTAATTATTTTTGAAATAAAAATTCTGCCAGAAGCGTTAACCCAAAAATGACACTATTGTGACAAAGAGAGAGTAAAAGATGGATGACTCCGGTAACAACAATAGCAAAATATGTCAATTTGATGGATTACCATGACCTTTGGTGCGTAACAGCCATTCAGTAACACTTGTTATAACTCCATTATACTGAACTAAGCTAACCAGCTACTGGTATCAGGCACATATTTAGTGTTATCAATCCTGTTATTTAACACTTTCTAAGAAAGCTAAAAATAATATTTCCAAAAATGTCAAACTATTCTTTTCTAGTCATTTTTGGACACAACAAAGACTGTGAATGTTTAACATTGGAGTTGTGGAAGGGTTTACTCCACCGCCAGTATGAAGTCAAGAAAATACACCTTTGTTACCTGCGTGGGAATGTAAGTATTGTTGTAATTACTAAATATCCTTATTTCTATATTGCATGCTAAAACAGTACACTAACCTAGTACGTAAGTACGTAAGTACGTAACCTGTTCTTCCCAGGTTAAGCTCAAGTTTTCCTCACTCATTCTGTTTCTGTTTTCCACACAATAATAATCAGCCATTATGACAGGCTGTGAAAAAGGAGGTTACCATAGGTGGCGAGACAAACTGTGGAGGTCTTCGGCCCATCGGGGTGTGTGTTGAACAGGCAGGTGTAGCAGCCTTCATCCTGGATGGTGACCGGCTGGATGGTGAGCTGACTGTCGGACAGGGAGGCGCTCAGCCACACTCTCCCCTGGAACGGAGGCTCTATCATGGGGTCACTGCGCTTTGCAAAGGAGGCGACCTCTGTGGCTTCTCCTTGTGCAGAGGTGTGTCTCCATATTATCTGCTCCACCTTTTCAGGCAATCCATAGGAGCACGAGAGAGAGGCCTTCTTGCCACTCACTGCTGTTTTGTTGCCTTCAGCGGAAATATGCGCTGGGAATAAACAGATTGAGGAGAAAAGATAAGAAAGGAACAGGAAAACAGAGGGGGAAAAAACTTGATAATAGTATTATTCCAAAATATGAGGATCCCAAACAAAAACGACTGGAATCTGGAGCAGCTGGTTCTGCTTATAAAAATGAGCCCCCTCTCACAGCTCCAAAGCTCTTTATTAACATGACTGGCTGAACCTCAACGGGCTCATCAACATGTGTTCAGGGGTTCAGGGAGGTAAGGCACTCTGAATTAAAGTTGACTGTATTCACATAATTTCTCAGTAAATCCCCACAGAAGATTGATATTGAGGTTGTAGGGAGGAGCTGTCTCTGGAGTCTACTGGAGGAATGTTTTTGATTAATTTTAAAGGGCGGGTGCAAAGGGCAGGCTTCCAAAATCAGTTATGCCAAGTCAAAATATTTTACAATCACGAGAAATAAAAACACCTTTTCATAAATTAAAAACAATAGATTAAACTGTAAAAGCTAACAGGGGTAAAGATAATTTATCATTTACATTTGCTACTTATTTTAAACAATCACCCAAACAAATCTCTTCATTTCAAACACAAAAATAGATCAATGTGAAAGATACTGATGCAGTATATCTGAAATATCTGAGTCAGATGTTATTCTGGATATGAGCTCCTCAGTTTGCTTGTAAGGGTGAGATCTATCTTAAATCTGTCTCATTTCTGGGTATGGCCATGAGCATTAATCAACCTGGCCTTAAGGTGATCTCTCACCTGGCTCATGACCCTTGAAAGAAAAGAGTCACTTTCTGGCTTGTATCATAGATTAAGAATCCCGTACGTTTCATCTAAATCTCTCCTGTCAGAGTGATCTTCTTGAGGTTAGAGATAAATATGTTACACTGTTACATATTTTGGCTCTTGTATGCAGGAACCCACATTCTAGTTCATAACATTAAGCTGTCGTATTACTCACAGGTCACAGTGAGGCACGTCTGGCCCTGTTTTGAACCAGAAGGATGCATGTCGAAGATGCAGGTGTAGCAGCCTTCGTCACGGAAGCCCACCCTTCGGATGATGATAGCCGAGGTGTCTTTCGGAGAGACGGCCAGCTCTACATACTGCTGTCCACTCACACTGTCTTTGTCACCAGGCTGGTAGCTCAGAAGGGTCTGGTTTTGGCCATCCAGCCAACGCACCTGCCTTAGAGTCTCTCCTCGGTCCCTCACAACGCTGCAAGTGAGAGTGAAGGGCTTCTCCACTGGAGCTTCCAGACGCTCAGGTGCTGTTACCCGGCCTGGAACATCATGTTATGTAACATTTAAAACATTATAACTTGGTGTGACTTCTTGATTTGAGATTTCCATGTTTTATAGCATTAACATGTAGCACTCACCCTGTAATCTTCCCACCATCAGTAAGTACAAACACACCTGCAGACCCTTCCTACAGGAGGCCTGGATCACCATCTTCTTCATCGCTCATTTATTGGGAGGAAGAAGAGTGGAACTGAGATGTGGAGAAATAAAACCAGCCCGATATGAAGTCAACCTCTCCTTTAATTTAAACATCTGGTGATCCAACAGTAATACAGACTGACTTTTGCAATAAAACATGTTTTTTCCAACTCTGATGAGCCAATTCAGCTCATGTGTTCAAGATGCTGTCAAGCACATTGAATCGTCTAAAAAACTAATCAATTTGTTGCAATAAAAAACAAAAATCCTCAAGTGTAAAAAAAAGTTAGCAATACTGTGTGAACGTTTTCAAACTTTTCAAAAGGGAACGTATTTTTTTCTGCCACATTACCAACTGGCATATAAGTAAAAAACGCAACGATTTCATTAACCAATTCATTTACACATAAAGGTGGCCCATAGCCATACAGCATTTATTTAGAAATTCTACATTTTTATTTAATACAATCATGCAAAGTAAGTAAACAGCATATTTTGCATATCATTTCTATTATACAGGAGACAGATATACTCACCTTCAGGCTACTTGTCCTAATGCAGAAGGTAAAAGCCAACAGTCGAAACCCTCTGCAACATCTCGCCCGTCCTTATGACCCAGCAGTCTTTTCAAACATCACTCCAGACCGAGTGAGAAACTATTTGTAGCCTACTCCTCCGTGTGTTTTCTATTCTGTGCACCAGCAGCACAATGAAGACCAGCCGGCGGCAGCTCCACACTTTAGTTTAGCACGGAGCGAGAGGGGAGAGGGGAGAGAGAGTCTCAGAGCAGAGGAGAAACACACAGTGACTGATATAAAACGTCAGTCAGTGTGTCAGTTACAGAAGAGAAGCAGCATCACATTCAGGATAACCAACAGACACCACTTCAGAATCATGCATTTACCCAATTTATATTTCAAAATGTTGTCTATGAATGAAAAAACAGTCAAATTGTATTACAGTGTTAAAAGGTTACAGCATGAATTATAGACCTTGCTGCAAACATTGTTGGAAAATGTTTGCCTATTCCACCAATTGTTTACAGTTTGTCTTTTACAATAAAAGTATTGTTCATTCACAAGTATACAATGTATTATTGTATTAATATACAAAATAGTTTGTGCACATTTCTGTGTTTCTGTGCAGATACAGATTTAGTAAGAATTGTTTTTCAGTAGCCTATAGTAGATAGAAGTTATGAATGCCTTTTCCCAATTATGTTTTCAGATAAAAACATGAACGCGATTTCTCACATAGGCCTACTGAGTCTGATGATCATGTTCTGCTGAGTCTGCAGAGCCAGATTCACCGTGCTGCGTTCAGGTGCTGCTTTCTGAGAGTCTGCAGAGCCAAATTAACTGTGCTGCGTTCAGGTGCTGCTTTCTGAGAGTCTGCAGAGCCAGATTCCCTGTGCTGCAGGTTTCATCACCCCTCAGCTCAGATATTTGGCCCTGCAATCCCCCACCTGAGCCCGGGTGAAGCCACAAATGAATATAAAGCCTGTTAACCCGAACATCTGTAGACCTTTAGACCTGCAGAAAATATACCTGTAGACAAAAAGACATGCAGTCCTACAGACTTGAAGACATGCAGACCTGCAGATAATTATTAACATTATGTAGTAGTAGTAGTAGTAGACAAAGTGGTGGTGAAATGTAGCAGTTTGCTGTTTTGTCGCCTTCTGCAGGTATGTATGGAAATTACAACAAAAAAAATCGTAGTTTATGATTAACTCAAATCTAAATAAATTCAGAAATTGATTAAGTATGTCATCATAAAATATATACAACAAAAATACAACCGAGCATTTTAGTTTTCTTTTTTAAAGTTTGAAGCGTCACAGTTTTTCGACGGAAGTGGATTTGTCGGACTCATTTAGATGACGTACTTACATGGGCAACCGTTGCAACTTGACAGCTGAACAACAATACTGCTAAAATGAGCTCATTGGCAACATTACCAACATTTCAAACATCTAAGGACCGATTGGTGTCTCACTTCAGTATGAATTGAATCTGTCCTCGACCCTTCTTTAGGTATACGGTCGTTTTTATTGCGGATTAAAGGCTGTTTTACAGACATCATCATGTCGTTTCTGGTGGACTCAGTCATCATGTTCACCTCACAGGTAATCAAGAGTCTGTAAAGTCAACACATTGTTTATTGTATTTATTTTGCTGGACAAGAATATACCTTCGCATATTTTAAGCTAACGTTATATTAGATGTTTTCTAAGCTGTGTGACTATCTTGAACTGCAGGCTTCTGGTTCTTGTGGAGCCCTGTCGAAGTTTGAATATCTTTCAGCTAAATAAAAAAACGCGGTGAAGTTAGTTTTAGGTTTGTCTACCTAAAGGGTTTCACTTAATGCCCATTAATAAACGTCACAAAACTACTGTTACTTTCACTTTCTCCGTGCTATCTAGCTCTTATTAGAAAAATACATTTAAAAGGATAGTTATATATTTGTATTAGCTTCCATTTCATGTGAACCAGTGACTCAAAATCCATACCGATATTACTATACTGGACATATAAGACAATATATTTATTGGATTTGAGTTCTTATTTTTTACATTATTATTTTTCTTCAAAAATCTATTAATCATTTATAAAAAAAATCTGCTTCTGATTCAAGTGTTCCAATAAGTCATGAAAGTGAGCCAGTATGCGCAATACATGACCGAATTCAGCTATATTATGATTTAATCCTGAGCTTTTCCTGCTGTGACATTTCAACTTGTCCTTATGGAAAAATGTTTTATCATAAACTCTGTAAGTCTGATGGTAACTCATAAACGTACCTTTTTGTAAAAAAGCACTTCTCTATTGAAACATTTGAGAACATAATCTTCCACCTCCCTCTTTCCTCCAACTAATTCCCATTGATGCCCACACAGGTGCTGTTCTTTGGATTTGGCTGGTTATTCTTTATGCGGCAGCTGTTTAAAGATTATGAGGTAAAGTAGTAATCCTGGATGTTGTGTGTTGGCATAATTAGTATTCCATTGAGAGAAACACTCAAATGCATTGTCATTGTCTCATCACCGATAAAGTTGTAGGCCTAGAAGTCCTGACAGTTTTTGTGTTTGTTTACAGATACGACAGTATGTTGTCCAGGTGGTTTTCTCCATCACTTTTGCCTTTTCATGTACCATGTTTGAGCTTATCATCTTTGAGATCCTGGGCGCCATGAGTAGCACGTAAGTACATTTTCTGTGTACTGTAAATGTGTTTATTTTGCATGTTTTTTGTTGTTGAAAATGTAGACTATAACCTTCATGTGTTTCCCACAGCTCTAGGTATTTTCACTGGAAGCTCAACTTGTATGTGATACTGCTGGTCCTTATCTTTGTGGTGCCTTTCTACATTGGTTACTTTGTTGTCAGCAACATACGTCTGTGTAAGTAAAGCTGATTAGCTGTGTATTGAGACAAAAAAACTGTAACTAACAATAAAATGAACAACTACGTTTGCCAGATTTTGTTTTCTCGCACATTATGTCACAGAAAGCTATTTTCTTTATTCCTATTATAGTGCAGAGACAGAAGCTTCTGTTCGCTTGCATGGTCTGGTTCACCTTCATGTATTTCTTCTGGAAATTGGGAGACCCATTCCCAATCCTTAGTCCCAAACATGGTGAGTGTGTATCCTTCTCCTCTGGGCACCTTTATGCCTCATTAATGCCCTTTTTCATAATTTGATAGGCCTATGTAGAGAGTGTTGAAAAGCAAGTGACCCATGGTTTCACTGTTTTCACTCTGTTGTGTTTATTCTGTTCAGGCATCCTGTCCATTGAGCAGCTGATCAGCCGTGTTGGTGTGATCGGAGTCACCCTCATGGCTCTGTTGTCTGGCTTTGGTGCAGTCAACTGTCCGTACACATACATGTCCTATTTCCTCAGGTAATCTCAACTGTGGGATTTCTCTGACTTTATCTTTAGCAGCTGTAACTCACAGCCTGTTAATTGAAGTCATCTAATGCATCAGAATATTTTGTATACAATATATTCCTGTTCTCAAGACACATGCCGTCTTTTATTTCATGCTTCCTGCTTTGTTATTTTCACAGAAATGTAACGGACAGTGACATACTTGCTCTGGAAAGAAGGCTGCTACAGACTATGGACATGATTGTAAGCAAGAAGAAAAGGTAAGTACATTTTTTTGGATGTATTATTATTATTTTTTTAATAAAATTAATTAAAATAATGATTCTGCCACTGGTATTTGTTCTGTGTGTAGAATTGCCATGACGCGGAGGCAGATGTACCAGCGCGGGGAAGACCAGAACAAACAGACTGGATTCTGGGGCATGATCAAGAGTGTAACCTCCACACCACCAGGCAGCGAAAGTATCCTTCACACTTATATTCAGTATAACCATAGAGTATACATTGTAAGCTTTTACTAGATGACTGTGCTTATTGTCGGCAATGTCTAGTAGATGTCAGCCTTGACTTCCTCTCTCCAGATCTTTCTCTGATCCAGCAGGAGGTTGATGCTCTAGAGGAGCTGAGTCGGCAACTCTTTCTGGAGACTGTGGACCTTCAATCCACCAAGGTAAGATATGTACCTTGGAGAAAGTTTTGTTCTAAGGCCGCAGCAGGCATTTGTTTAAAGTGAAAAAGAAGCAAGATAAGAGAAGTTACTGTTTGCTTACATGTTAACCATATCAACTAACAGGTGATGATTTGCCAGTGTTCTGTCCACAGATTCAAATACTCAAATGGTGTATTGTCATATCTACTACGGTGTAGTTATGTAATGAATTATAAACTTTGGTCGCAGGTTCCTCAACAACGCAATTACAGGACATAAAAAAACAACAATAAAAATAGTGCAAGCTCAGGAGTTAAGCAGCTTGTTTTTGATACCCATAAGTGCCAATAAACTAAACGTATTACAAGTTGAGCCTACTTTAATTGTTGTATGACATACATATTAAGTAGCTGTTATTATTGTATAACTCCTTCATAAGGCTCAATTAAAGTATAGTACGTGTTGCCGTTTATCGACTAGCAAGACCCATCTCCATAACAATCTCTCTCCATGTTATCAGTGTAGAGGTTTCCCAGCTGTAGACCTTGTCCAGGTGTGGCTGTGTGTTTGTGTTTCCCTCCAGTTGTTGTGCACCTTGTACATGGTTGTTGTTTGTGCCTTCCCCACCCCCTCAGTTAATTATTACAGAAGGCAGTGTGGTTGGTACTGGTAAGGGGAGGCAGGGTTAAAAAAAGCATACAAAGAAGGTAAAGAGAAAACAACTGAAAACCGCTACTTTAAAAATCCCATTTACTAAAAGGTTGTTAGGGCTAAGTTGATATCCCACAATTGACTATGATCAATCATCGAGTCCAGCTTTTTTAATGGAGTTCCTGTCTGGTTTAGTCTCTTTTATTATCTGGGTCTGTTTGTTAAAAGGGGCTTCCTGCAGCAGTAGACTTGCTTAGACTTAACCAGACAGTAAAAATCCTACACAATAATGAGCAAAAAGAGGCTTTAATACTCCAAAGCCTTACGAGTTCAACCACACAGTACCTATCTAAACTTTATAATCTGTTACACACTATGCAAGCATAACTTCATCATTTTGTAATATAAAAACAAATCAGTTGCTGTTATATATATATATATATATATATATATTTCATCACATTCAGTATGACATCACAGGACCAGATAACATGTATACATTGAAGATAAACCTTTGACAGCGTATTGTCAGCTCTGCTCTTGGTCTGTCACATGGTTCATGCAGATCAGTCCTCTGAGCTGCCCATATCAGTCATTTCAATGGTTTCCACACAAATAAGAGCCTGATATCTTTTGCTAAACTGAAATGTAGGATTTTAACCTCTGGGCTATGCCACATACCTCACCTCTATCTATACTGACTCATTTTAATTACCTCTCTTACATGCAATGAATGATTCATCACCTTTCCTTATCTATAGGAGCGAATTGAGTACTCCAAGACTTTCAAGGGGAAGTACTTCAATTTCCTCGGATACTTCTTTTCCATCTACTGTGTTTGGAAAATCTTCATGGTGAGAACATTAACAATTCTATTCTAGCTAAGTTGTATTTCCCTCACTCTCACACAGGAAGTAAATAATGTGAGTACTAAGGCTCAGTAACATAATCACAATCTGCACAAAAAAAAATCTTTATCGTTAAAAATGCAGTTGAAGATGTACCTTGATTCACTTTTCACAATTCATCTTCTGTCCATCATAGGCCACAATAAACATTGTGTTTGATCGAGTTGGAAAGACGGATCCAGTGACGAGGGGTATTGAAATTACAGTGAACTGGTTGGGCATCCAGTTTGATGTAAGTCATAGACACACACACACACACACACACACAGGCACACACACACATCTGCAGAAATAGTCACATGTCACACTGCATGACCTCCTGCAAAGATAATTGCTGACTTATTATCATCTCTGCACCTTCCGCTGCAGTGATCCTGGTCTTGATCGCTTTTAATCTTTTTCTGTGGAGGCAGTTATTTGATTGTGTTGTAGTTACAACTGAAATAGTATGGGAGTACGTTTAAATTCAAATTAACGATGAATGCAGATTGACATGCTCTATAGTCTATACACACTGTTTTCTTTACATTTCTTTGTTTTTTTCTAATCTTTGGTTGTTTCTCCCTTTTCAGGTAAAGTTTTGGTCCCAACACATCTCCTTCATCTTGGTGGGAATAATAATCGTAACATCCATCCGGGGCTTACTCATCACCCTCACTAAGGTAAAATACATACATGTTGGAACGGCTACAGATCTTGAGGCTAACTCATGTGTGAGATGCGTGTTTATTGATACCTTTTAACCAACCATTTAATTATTCTTGGTATTTTAGTTCTTCTATGCGATATCGAGCAGCAAGTCCTCCAATGTCATCGTGCTTGTCCTTGCTCAGATCATGGTGAGCGAGCTGCTTTATAGTAATCTTTTAACAGAGCACAGCCTACAAACACCAGGTCAACCTAAACTGTCTCTCTGTGTGTCTCACTCCACCAGGGGATGTATTTTGTATCATCTGTCCTGCTGATGCGTATGAGCATGCCGCTGGAGTATCGCTCCATCGTGACGGAGGTTCTGGGAGAGCTGCAGTTCAACTTCTACCACCGCTGGTTTGACGTCATCTTCCTGGTCAGCGCCTTGTCCAGCATCCTCTTCCTTTATCTCGCCCACAAGCAGGCCCCAGAGAAACAAATGTCCCTCTGATCGCCTGCATCTCTGGATGTGACCCCTGAACCCTGGGGGACTTTGAATCTGGAATTCAGGGATATCCAGAAACCAGGGTTTTTTATATATATGGGACATAATTATCTGGACTGCCTGTTCCTGAATCAGGAATGGCTAATTGTTGGATACTAGTGATGGGGGACTATTGGAGCAAATTTGGAAAAAACATAACAAATATTGTTAATTCAACATACATATGAATGCAAACACTTTGCTCTCTGTGCCCCTTAATTCTCATTATATTTGCTTTTGTCTGAACACACTGGAGTTGTTCTGTTCACGGCACATCCCTGCTTCTCTCCTACTGAGGTGAAAATGGACTAAGGAAAGATCATGATGTAACTCATGGTCATGACAGAAAATATGTAATTCAGTAATTGGGAACAAAAACAAAAACCCATAAAGTAAACTTAATTCACATAGTTTGTGTTCATTTATTTGTGTTCATGGAAATTGTAATTCATTTAATTTAATTGTAGAACTCGGAAAACAATAATGTTTAATTATTTCGACATTAAATTAATAAAGGCAGATCTTTGCACAGAGAAAATAATACATTAAACGCCAGAGTGTTTTCTGGCAATATTGTTAGCTTAGATATCTTGGTAACATAAGTTTTGCCAGACATGACTCGTTAGTAAGATCATTGCACATGCTCAATAACAAAAATGCTAGATCTACTATTCGCATCATGGGAAGAACAAAAGGTATTCAAGAACACTTTTTACATGGTTGAGATATTGACGATGAATTTCAAAAGTCTTTACTGTCCTTCTGTAATATCAATGTGTGAAGCCCCTAGAGTTGATTGTTTAAAACAACGATGGATCAACATTAGATTGACAAATCGGAGAGCGTGTCCTTTTGGTGGCTTCTCAGAGTTTCTCATCGAGACTGTCTTGAGATGAAGATGATATAGCCTAGAAGAGAAGAGAAGCAACATTTGAAATATTTGAGACATTTACCAATAAATAGAAGCAACATGTATGTAATTAACCTGTCCCTGGTGAAGATAAGTACACCTAAAAAACTGGACACATGGGACGGAAGGAGATCATTAGATAAACTATTTACAATGTTCATAGCCTATTTTGTTGTCTGTCACTAAACACAAAGTATAGCTGAGGCTCATTAGTTGTGCAGGTAATAAGCCATAAAGTATTTATTAGATTAAAATTGTGATGAAATCGATTATGGGGAGAAAGACACATCTGGGAAGTTCCAATTCATCCTGAGGGGGTCATAAGCATCTTTACGAAATGTAAATATATATCCAATATTTGGGAAGACATTTCACTCAAAAACACACGTATTAAGTCCATGATGTTTTTTGAGGAACAGTCAGAGGATCGACTCAGTTATTATGATTTATTGTTTGGGGAATATCTGTTAGAAAATTCATGTCAAGATATATGACTCTGGAACAAAGAGGTGGACTGAGAATCCCCACTCACCCTCTCTCGTTCTTGTTCAGGTGGGCTCTCAGGTCTGGCCTTCTCTTCATGTTTCTCTTCCTCCTCTGGAGTGTCTGCAGTGTGGACCTGGGCATAAGAAGTTTCCCCGAGGAGCAGGCGTGTGATGGACACTCCTTTAGCTTTGAGTTGGTCATAGACGCTCTTGTTAGCCAGCAGCATCTCCAGAGAGCTGCCACTGCTGCGGATCAGTGCCACCACCTCGTCGTGGCTGCTCTGCTCCACATTCTCTCCGTTCACCTCCACCACCATGTCGTCCTCCTGCAGACCCGCCCTGTCAGCCGCTCCACCGCCAACCACCTGAAACACAGTGCGTCACCACTTTGATCTGCATTTGAAAAGATTAACTCGGGGGCATTCCTTTCATTCTTACATCCTTGATGAATTGTCCAGACACCCCCACGATGCCGTTCAGGTGGAAGCCGTAGCCAGACGGGGTTTTCTCCATCCTACACAGTTTAGGCTTGAGCTCCTCGTCCTTCGCCTGAACAGGTGTGGATGGCCGCACAGGAGCAGGTAAATTCAGGGCTTCTCTGTAACTCGGAGGTGAGCTTGAATCTCTCGTTTCCTCCAAGAAGAGCATAGGAGACACTTTCCCCTGTGAGGGACACAACAATGATGTTATATTTACCAAGGGTTCCCTTATATTCTTAGCTTTGACAAAGCATATCCTAACTACCATTTTATACCCTTAGAGGCTGAACTTTTCAACCTAAATTCCCATTTCAAATCACGTTAATACCACTTAAATACCTTTAAACATAGGGTACATTTATTCAAATTACACTTTTCTAGTTATGGAGCTTAAAAACGTACACAAATGAGCGGTAGAAGACTTGCCCAATCCTTATACTGCCAGAAATATAAACTTAGCAGTGTAAAGCTGACTTTTGTTGTGCTTTTACTTTGAAACAATAACTTTGCAAACTGTCAGAATCTAATTAGAGTTATACAAAGTGAACATGGGTGGAAGTACTGGATACAATACTGTATGCTTGTTTTATAGGTGCAAATTGTTGCCATACAGTATGTAGACGTACAGGTTGTAGTGATACATCACACTTTTATCATGTCGAGCATATTGTTTTCCACCGACTCACCTGCTTATACATTTGGTCTGTGTCTTTATCCACCACTAGAAAGCAGCATTTGTTTCCACTCTGCCTGATCATGTCCACCACCTGCCCATGGTTGCATTCTTCCACCTCCTTGCCGTCCACAGCTACTAGTCGGTCCATTTCCTTCACACCTGCCCTCTCTGCTGGGCTGTCTCTGTCTATGTCCCTCAGGAAGTGGCCTGCATGGAGTTAAGGAGCACACTGTTAGAAGCCGGACTTCTCTCTGCGTTAAAATACCAGTTATGTGTAATATAAATGGCCTTGCATTTTTGGTTGATGTCCTCCTTGAGCAGGAAGCCATAGCCATCCGGTCCTTTGGTGATGTCGGCGATGCGTGGTTGGTGTGGGAGGTGCTTGGCTGTGGCTAACCACGCTCCTATCTTCTTGTTCTGGTATTGCCTGTCTGTTTCCTCGTCCACCAGCAGGAACATGATGCTGCCGCCGGACAGCTTGATCTTCTCCACTACTTGCTCGTGTGTGGCGCCTTCCACACTCTCCCCGTTGACCTCCAGCAGGCGGTCTTTGACGTTGACCCCCGCCCTGTCAGCCACACTTCCTTGCATCACCTCTGTCATGAACAGACCCGGCTCACCTGGAGGATGTTATGGAAAGTATGAAAAAAATACAGATATTTCAGCTGATGTTACAGACACAGTCATCTCCAGGCTGGTTAAAACTATAGTACCGCTATCTAATAAGACACCCCTTAATAACGCAGAAACTCATATTTTGTAAGTCATGAGCTCTTAATAAGGACATCCTAAGGTCCCCAGGCTTTGCTAATCTCTTGGCAGTTGGGTTTCATCCAACTCTAATATGGCACTTGCTTTGCTTTTAATTGCTCCAACCCTCCCTCTCACTTTGGACCTTCTGACACCTTTACAAATGTGTTGGGAGGCCGCAATCTTGTTAATTTGGAATCAGAAGTGACACTAGAGGGTGGAGCTTGCAATGAATCTTATGGAACTGAAAACACACTATGAAAGGGTTACATTTGTAAGATGAAAACCAAACACACCCACACTGGTCAAAACCTGTGATACTGATCAGGATGTATTGAAAAAGACAACCAGCAAGTAAGATCATAAACCCATTACAAAAATGTTGACTAAGGTTTTTGCAAGAATACAATGTCCTATAAGCCTGAAATTGAAGTCTGCATCTCCTTGGGTGCGGTTGGTTGTAATCAGAAATGTGTTCTTTTGCACCTGAAACCACACCTAACAGTGATATTGCCAGTCTGGAAGTACAGACTTTTGTCGCAAGGTTAAACCCATTCCACGTCAGCAAAACTCTGTCTGATGAGTTTAAGACCTTTGTGTAGTACCACAAAGAACATGTCATAATGGAGAAGGATATAATATAACACATTTCAGATCTCACAATCTGGAAAACCAAAAGGTTCTTATCAAACATATGTTTCTGATTGATACAGTATTAGAAATTGTATAAAGGTTAATTGACTATCAATAAACCCAATAATTACAACCTATACATCAGGGGTGTCCAAACTACGGCCCGGGGGCCAAATGCGGCCCGCGGGCCATTTTGAAGCAGCCCTCAGCAAATTCAAAAAGTATAATGAAATATGGCCCACAAATGAAACTTGTGCTTTTCTTATATTGTACTTCTTAAATATATATGTTAACATATATTACACAGTATTCATGTGTTAATAAGCCCACTTTTAAAATAAATTCAGTCAATTAATGTTGAAAACATTTTCTAACAAATCTTAGTTGATAAAAATAAGCCCAATAACTTATTTACAACAAGCTTGAAATAGACCCTTCATATTTCCTCTTAATATAATCACTCTGAGGCTTCTGTTTTAAGGGATGAGTTGCCAACAAGATAAATGAAACCCTATAGAGAGCTGTGATGTAGGCTGTTTTTTGTGTATCAAGCCTAATTTACCTACATTTTGCTAACTTATAACTTAAAGGGGACCTATCATGCAAAATGCACTTTTGTACGTCTTTTATACATGAATATGTGTCCCCGGTGTGTCAGGGAACTCACCAAGTGTCAGAAAACACAACCCTCTCTCTTTTCCTCCATACCCAAATCTCTAAAAACGGGGCTGCAACGGAGCTGATACAGATTTGAAATTGTTCTGACGTCAGAAAGAGGGAGCTCCGCCTATATGGGCAACTCTCCACCTATCAGGGGAATGGGGGGTTGGGCCACGGCCACGGCCATTGCCGCTCGAAAGCTCTGGAGTACATATGCCAGGCCTGTAAGTGGCGCTGTAGTCTGCCACAAAAGCAGCGAAGAAGACTTCTCACAGAATCAGCCCTTGCAAAAACAGGGCTGGAAAAGAGCAAATAGAGCGAAATGAGGCATGGCTAAAATGCATGATCTGTTTGGTATTTTGAAAAAAAAACTTCACAGACATGTTTTATATAGGTATGGCCCTACAATATATTATTCAAATATAGCATGATAGGTCCTCTTTAACATACGAGGCAATATACCTCACCTCTATAAGTGGCCCAGCCCTTCGTATATTTTTCTGTTTGTGGCCCTCGGTGAAAAAGGTTTGGACACCCCTGCTATACATGCTTTATACATTTTCTATTCATCCAACTCCACCCCACATTGGTAGATACATTTAACCGTCCTCTTTTGGTCCTAAATTGTGATCCCCTAACTCTGCCTGCTAAGCTCACTTTTTTCTGACCGAAGGGAAAACCCATAGCCTGAGCTGGACTTCACCAGGTAGCACAGTTTGGGTTTTAGATCCTGTTTGGAAACCCCATTGGCCACTGGTGTGCTCTGAGGGTCGGACAGGTTCACTTCCTGTGCCTTAGCTTGCACATAGGAGGCTTCATCCAGGATGTGGAATGTGACTGTTGGTCCGCTGTTTCTCACCATGTCCACCACCTGTCCCGGGAAACACAAACAGCAGAAGAACATCTTAAGAAGGATACCTGTCCAACCATGATGCCATCAGTATATGGACACCAACATGTATATATAGGTTGTAAAAGGACAGGTAAACAACCGTGATTAACTTTTACATAATACTGTTAGTTTAATTATTCAAATTAAAAAAATGTCAAGAGAAAATGTAAACTTTAGAACTCTTCTTTAACGTCCCAATAGGTTGTTTGTTCTTTAGCAACATTAGTAGATGAATATATTCTGAATCTAGGTATATCTAGTTTTGATACACATTTTCCAATGTATCCATTATTTATTATCTCTATCTTCATATCATAATCTTGAAGTGCATGTCTCTCAAAACACGTTTTTGATTATTCAATGGATCCTTGACATTCTGTGTGTAATCTAGTGTCTCTTCTCATAATGTCAAATGCACCTGACTTCTTATTCAAAAAGGTTTATGTAGTTTTAGTTAGCTGGCTTTCTTGCCTACAATGGATATACCCATCTAGTTATCTCATAAGCAGGACATTTGAAACAGGGTAAGGACATGTTATATAGGGAAACATACAATAGCTTAATGCCAAGTATGCCAAGACAGAAACATGTTTTAGGCCTATTCTAATTTAACTCTTATTTTATTACTCTGATTGATGGTTAAGAAAATGTTTAAAGCCTTATTTTACTATAATTTCCTTGGTACTATATACCCTATTTAATAACCTTTTCCTGCTTGTTGTCATTTTCTGGGCTCCATATCAGGAGTTATTATTAAAAATGTAATACACTGTGGTAGTTCCTCAACCGACTTACGTCTGAATGGGGCAGTTCATCAACAAATGTTCCATTGACCCGCAGGATGCGACCTCCATCTTTCATGCCGGCCAGTTCAGCTGGACCTCCCATTTCCAGGCAGCGGATCAGGTGCCCCTCCTCACCATGCTCCACCCTCAAGTAGAAGCCAAATGTATGACCCTGCCTCTTGGTCAGACATATCACACTCGGCTTGTACCCGGCCATGTCCTAATGGAGGAGAAGGTTTAAACATACACACACATTCACAAATTAAATCGTGTCATGCACTAAAAGAGTGGATCACATCAGTCCAGTACTGAAATCTTTACACTGGCTTCCAGTCTGCCAAATAATTGATTTTAAAGTACTATTGTTAGTTTTTAAAGCACTAAATGGTTTAGGACCAACTTATATTAACGAGCTCCTGCAAAATTATGAACCATCCAGGAGTCTCAGGTCTTCTGGGACAGGTCTGCTCTCTGCTACAAGAGTCAGAACTAAACAAGGAGAAGCAGCATTTAGTTTTTATGCGCCGACCATCTGGAACAACTCCCTGAATCCTGCAGGTCAACTGCAACTGTTGATATTTTTTAAATCAAGACAAAAAACCTTTATTTTTGACGCTGCATTTGGATGAGTTGTTCACATTTTAACTGCAGTATGGCTTTTTATCCATGTATTTTATACTTGTGTTGATTTTATTATCTTTGCTTTTTAAATGCTTGTTTTTAAAATGCCTTTTTATAATGTGCTTCATCTGTATATTGTTCTTAAATGTCTTTTATCTTATTTTGTAAAGCACTTTGGGTTGCCCTGTGCGGAAAGGTGCTTTATAAATAAACTTGCCTTGCCTTGCCCTCTATCACACAATGTGCTGGTGTGGAGTGATAAACAAAGAAAATTAGATAGAAGCAAACAAGAAAGTTCAACTGAAGTTATTAATTTAGCCTTTTATTCAAGGAGTAGCTGCAGTTAATGGTTTCTTAAACTACCTTGAACACACTAATTCTTTGCTGTTACTATTGTCACACTTTAGAATTCCTCATTAATAGACAGACAACCCTAACCTTAAGAGGCCAGAGAAGTGCGGAAGGCTTCAGATGAAAAGTTAATCTTCCATGTCCTTGCGCTCCACTGGCAGTTAATGGTTAAAAGCAGGCACAGCTGACTGCTTTGTGACAACTCTCTTTAAAAAGACAGCCTGGACTTTGAATACATGGTAAGGATTGTGAGTGCAGTAATTGTACTGAAATATAGACATAAAGGAAGCTCATAAAATGTGTTTATGTGCCTTCAAGACACAGTTAATGTGAGATACTTGTTGTCCTATTAGTGTTATACAGCTCTTCCTGATTACTGACACGTCAAAATCTCCCAACAAATATAGACCCAAATAATTTGTAGTTGGAATTGTTTTCAAATGGTTAATGTTAAGGCTTCCAACTTTTGTATTGGTTGTCGTCTCCAGCTACCTTTAACCTGCATGTGATGAGTGCATAATGACATATGATGCTTGTAAAGGAGCACCAACAAGCGGGCACTTTGGAGATTATAAAGTTAACAGATCCACTATCAGAAATACATCATAGAAATACACCCAACTATATTGTCCTCATGAACGTCTTCTCACTGATCCACTATGCTAACAGCAGAAGAAAGTATATTGTACTGCTTGTTTGTAGTTTCCAAACTTGTTGGCAAGTAATGTCTACTCTACATGCAACCCCTTATCACGTCTGTGGCTAGCTCTTCCAAAATGTTAACTTTTACTGTTTTCAAGAAACCTTAAGTGATAAAATGATCAACTTAAAAATATACAAACAATAAATGGTTGTTATTTTTCTTCCTAGACTGCTTATAGTGTAATAACCCTTAATATTTGTAGCAATCTGAAAATAATTGGAATTATATTATATGTGATTGTAAAGGTAAAACTATATACAATAGTAGTAGTGATTATAGTGTTTTGAAATCAAACTCACCAGCTCGTCTCTGATCAGTGTCCCAGTGCAAAGGAGGAGCTCACCTGTCACTGCTTGGCTGTAAACTAATGTTTCTTTAACCTGTCTTCCTCCAACTCCAACTCCTCCTCCTCCTCCTCCTCCTCCTCCTCCTCCTCCTTTCCTCTCTACGCAGAGACTTTGACGGGACAAAGGTTGGCCTAAAGGCTGAGTTATTTAACCGTGTCTCGTATTAGGAATGTCTCCGGAGGCGATGGCCCTTTGCAATCTGTCCACAAGATGAAGCAGTCATCTGGAGGTCAAAGGTACATGACGCAGGTGGCAATAAGCAATTTCCAGAAATCATTATGGTACTTATATTACAGTCAGCAATACATCAGGGGCAGTGGCGTTTTTATATGTACAAAAGTGGTGGGGCACAAAAAACTTAGATGTCTATATATAAGCTTCTGCAGTGACGTGCAGTGAGGTTCATGGCTGGTGAGGCACTGACTCTTCAGGTTTACAAATATTATATTTTGACCTAAACCAAAATATAATATTATTTTCAAAAGCTTTTTTTGTCTGATGCTTCGATTAATTTTAAACAGACAGTTCAACAAAAGGATACCCAAAAAATGTAATTTTATCATTTAAATATTGAATTGTTCTCTCTTAGTAAGATCCCATTTTCAATAAAATTGCGGTCTTACCTTGACTTGAAGATGAAGTCCATTTTCCTATCCTTCTGGACAAAAATTTCTATAACTTTTTTGTAAAAGTCCTCCTTATCTTCTTGTAGTTTCAAAAGTCTATCATAAATCTAATCCATAGATTTATGATAAAAAAATTATAAAAGTAGGGTAGACATGTGGATATTATCCGGCTAATCAAAACGTGCATTTATCTAACAGGTACGTTTCCCACAGATCTTATTTCGAGCTATTTTCTAAAATCCTCTGGAGAAATCTCATTGCTTTTTTGTGCTTACTTCCTGGTTTTAGGACGCGTCACTGCAGCTCTCTCGTCTCCTCTTCACACACCACACTTTTCGCGGCACACGTACTTACAGCCAATCAGCTCTGAATGATTTGAGATGACGTATGGTGGGGATGGTAGCTCCGTGCCCCTCTGGTCATTATTTTTTTGCCACACACATCACATTACAAAATATTCTGAGCATGCGCAGTGTCGTTTTTACAGTCATCGTTCACTTCACAGCGAGAGGAAGGGGCATAATCAGGTTTTGTCCCACATGGCTCTAAACAGCTCAATAGGCACACACTGTGACTGTAGACACACTAATTAGAAGAACACAGACTAAAACAGCAATGTACAGACGAATCAGATGATTAAACATGATCTTAAAATATATTTTATATATTTTTTTATTTATTTTTTTGCATTTTTGTAATCATTATTTGTAATACTTTCTGCTGACACTAGGTGGGGCTGTGCCCCACCTGCCCCTAATGACCAGTCGCCACTGATCAGGGGAAAGGAATCATGTGCACTAATTTGCATAAATCGTATTGATATGGGAGTGTATTGATTGTGTAACAAAATTCTGTAAGCTCATTCAAAAATATTGCTTATCTTAACAATATCCACTTGAAGCTACTTGAAAACAGGAAAACTAAATGTAATTTTGGGGTTTCAGGGTGTATTGAGAAGCATACTTTCTTAACATGAAATCAAACTTACTATACAGTTCACCATGACAATTATACAGCTCGAATAAATATTTTGGTTTGTTCCTGTTTCCTTTGAGTTGCACATTATTTTGGTACTCTTGCTCAAATTGATGCAAGGTTTGTTTTTATTTACTTCACTAGATCTTTATGCTATCCAGGGGGCAGTGTACAGTATTTTGCAGCAAGATTGTAAAGCCCTAGCTAGCATGTTGATGTTTTGTTATTGTTCCTGTTCTCATTTTTGGTTTCTCTCATTTCAGTTTCCGCTTTCCTGCCCTGATTGAACTCCACCTGCTTCCCATCCCTAATTAGCCTCACCTGTGCCTCATTATCATCTCTCCCTCTGTCTACTTAGTCTGCATCCACATTCCCTTCAGTGCCAGTTCGTCTACGTTATTTCCTAGCGTTCCAGCAGTGTTTTCCTTGTGACCGATCTCCCGTGTATCGTACCTTGGCTATAAAGACCTTTTTTGCATCCTAAGCCTCTGTCTCTGAGTCGTGCTATTGAGTCCTCTACTTGTGTTCATTCAGTCGTTACAAAGATAAAAACTAAAACAACTTAAATGCAACTCAACAGCCACAAAAATTATAATGCTTTTCTTACATGGAATAAATCAATTATTATATTTTATATCAAATAAGAAACAATTCCAGGGACATTATGTAGGGACAAGCCATCAGTGACACGTATAAAAGCCTTGGCAAGCGTCGAGGAAATTCAGTGATTTTTAATTGACCAGTAATAACAAACATAATGGACCTTTATTTATTTTCAGTAAAACTTCCACATAGTTTCGAGCGTTAAGGGTGTAGTTCTGTTTTCCAGATTTATGGTTGGTGTGGTCGGTAACTATGGGAGAGTTCTGTGGCTATAAAAGGCTTATTACGATACTGCTGTCCTTGAGATTGGACAAAGGTGACAAAAACGTGACTTAAGCCAAGTGACACATCTGCAAACTATAAAGGTTAAGTTATTACTGTGCTAGATTTGTTGACTGTTTAATAATTGTACCCTAATTGTACTTCAATTAACAGGAGTCTGATCTTATCTGCCAAGGCCTCCAGGAGGACTTTTCATTCTCAGTTAAAGGTGGGGTATGTAATTTTGGAGAAACCAGCTCGAGTGCGCTAGAATTTGAAAATACACAACAGGAAAAAATCTGCCTCTTCCTTACAGAGCCCCTCCTCCAACACACACGAACGCGCACATGACCAATGAGGGCACGAGATAAGTTTGTGCACAGATGGAAGGCTGACAGGCAGGTAGGCCATCCAGTTATTTTAGCCGGGCCGGCTAAAATGATTGGTTGTGTTTTTTACAGCGCTACGGCTTCCAGAGATGACATTTTTTTTTAAAGTATTTATTGTCAAAGCACTTAAGATATTCATTGCTATCGGGATGTTAAGAGCATTCCATGGAATATAACAAAAAGTGTTTCTGAAATAAATTACATACCCCACCTTTAAGGTGAAGCGATTACATTTGAGTGATAACAACAGTTTATGGTCCACTCATCAGCAGTGCTTCCCCTTCTCTTTCTCAAACCAAACATGTTGTAACTTTAAGTAGACAGACAGAACACCGATTACAGTCCTCCAAGACGAGAATCTGTTGCATTGACACTTTGACTGCTTTGCTAAAACATGTCGCTGCCATCTACTGTTGTCATGAGATTCATTCTTGAAATGTTCTAAAAATGGATTTATATATTATTATGTTGGAGACTTAAAGGTCCCATGTCATGCTTTTCCGGTATTACCCGTCCCCTTGTGTGTTATGAAGGTTTTTATGCATGTAAACGGTCTGCAGAGTCAAAACCCCTCAAAGTACACCCTGTAGGGAGTAAAACTCTAACACACTCTACCTCCCCAAAACGCCTCGTTGGAGATTTCTCATTTTCCAATGTTTTCTTCCTGGGTATCGTGACGTAGGGATACCCAGTAGCCACGCCCAGAGCTATGGCCGCACCCTCTGCCAGCCGAACATATACTGTTGGAAGCTCAGGTTCAGTTCAAAACTGTATCCAGTCATGCCAACGAGGGTCTGTTTCCTGTCTTGTGAGGGGAAATCTTCAATGTCTGCCTTACCGAGGGCAGAACCACGACGAAGTCAGTGGTTGACATTTCTTGTTAACACTGTTCCTTCAGATGTTCGAGTCGGTATTGTACTGTGTGCACTGTATTTCACGGACCAAAGCTTCGCAAACATTGCAGCGATTCATGCCGGATATGCACAGCGTAGGACACTGAAGGACGATGCTGTTCCTACTTTGTTTGGACCAGCGGGAGATTCGGGTACACACCCTGTAAGTATTCATTGTTGTTTGTGTATTTATGATGTTTAAAACAAACAAGGTATCTACCACGACTGTTTAAATGGGAAAACGTTTTTCGGGCTGCCAAGCCATTGACACAGTGCTAACTGGGCTAACTAAGTTATAGCGTTTCCATATATCAACTCCAATGTCAGCAGATGGCCTTACATGTATCTCATAGCAGGAGAATGTCTGCATTCACACACAAAATACTCATACAGTATACTCCGGGTGATTTACCGTACGGTCAGTTGCGAAACTTAATTACATTATAGTTGGCGTTCCTAGCGTGTATGCTACCGAGCTAAAAAAGAAGGCTACCAAGAGCTAGACATGCTAGGGAAAACATTGTTTTCATGCCAGCTACAATGAATGACCGAACGTAGCAGAATACCCGTATAAGATTGCAATTGTAAACATGTTCTTGCTAGTCTAATATGAACCACTAGCTGTTGTTCATAGTAGGTTGGCATATTACACTGAACAACTAGCAAACGTAGGTTAGCATATTAATCTAGCTGGCAAGCTAACGAACCTAAAACAACTAAGTTTCTCTAATATTTTGTGATTTGCATTTGATTTCGTCCAGCCAGATCAGGAAACTCCTGGCGTATCCGGCGGACAACACATGACGGGATGACCACTCTGATGCCTCGTCTTAAAAAGCCCCAGCACCAGCTTACAAAGCTGCGATAGGCAAGATGCCGAAAACGCCTATAAGAGGAGGAATGGATGATATACAGTGTATATATGTATATTTACACATGTTCATTTTGTACATTTCTAAAAATAAAGTTTGATGGAAATACTTAGTAGCCTTTCTTCCCTGAATTATTTGCTCCTATAACATATCATTCATATATAGCAAACTGTAGTGCAGAGAGAAGGGAGTCGGAGGCGGTGCATCGAAGGTGCAAAGTTGGTTTTATTCAGCAGCAGAAAACCACATGTTGCCGGCTTGAAGCCCGGGAAGCAAAGAGGAAGAAGCAAGGAGGTAACACAATAAGTACAGTCAACAACATATATGTCTGTGCGGAAACAATACCCCCAACCTGTAGTTCCATGATGGAATTATGATAAACAGTGATAAACAGTGATCACTACGCAAACCATGATTTGATTTTTCATCAAACACAGTAGTAGTTTATTACAGGTAAAAATAA